GTGGTTTTTTTTTGTCATAGATATTCTCACAAAGGGTAAAATGAAGCTCTTTCGTACCATAAAATTTTACTTATTCGTCTCCCATCCTTTTCACAATTTCCATCTTCGAAAGTTGTACACTGCACAAGCCACACACACAAGTGACAAAACATGTAAAAAACAACAAGAAAACCAACATAATAAGAAAGCCAAACAAGAGGGCAAAAAGAGGTACCCACAACGTCTCACCAAATATGTATCATTCTCTCTCAATCTCAGGCTTGCAGCAATCACGGTTGTCTATCCATGCCATGCCATCCCCTTCCCAAAAGCTTCCCACAGTGTAATCTATATTCCCTGTCAAACTTAATTATATTTCACCTTTGTCCAATGCAATGATTGTGAAACCACATCATAAGTTATTGTCGAAAAATTAAGTGTTAGGATGATTTGTACTGGTTGTTGTTAGTATGTAGTATAAGATCTATTATTGAACATTTTCTCAACAACTCGAGTTATTGAGATCAACGAGATCTTGACATGGTATATCAGAGTCTTCTGTGACCTAGCTAGATGTATTCTATCTGAATCCTGATGAAACCTACATTGGTAACTAAGATAAGGGAGCAACATTCTCGGCAACTACCTCTGCACATTTTCCCCACTCTTCGTTTGTGACTGTTACTTTATGTTATCTCTGTTCCTAAGTTTGTGTTAGTGGAGAATTAGCTTCCTTAGGAATAGCTATTAGTTGAGAGGCTCATTGTATAAATATGCATCAATAATACAAACACAACTCAGGTTTTCTGAGACACTTTCATGGTATCAGAGCCATAAGAAACTCAAACGAGTTACCTACCTCTTCTTTTTCTGCCGATTCTGTCTCCTGCTTCTTCTAATGGCCACTTCCTCCACTTCCTCTGATTCTTCTTCCCCTTCCACTCAATGTTGCTCCCTCATCACTAAGCACATGATATCTTATTAATTGTTGTGCAAACTTCAAGTCTATATGAGTGGTTGGCTTTCGTTTGAAGGGGCCATGTCAGTATGTTATTGGGATCAATGGGTGTCTAATGCACGTGCAAACTTCAAGTCTATATGAGTAGTTTTCGTTTTGAGTGAGCATGTTAGTATGTGGGAAAAGATCCATGGTTGAACCTTTTCCAACAATTCAAGTTATTGAGATCAACTGGTTATATTGACATGCAATTGGATCGCAGTTCAGCTGTTTTGTACCTGTCGAATTGCCGATCATTTGGGATCTCATTTACGATAGTTCCAATCCGATCGACCGATACTATAGGGTTTTAGGTCAGTCCGATACGAGTAGGGTGTCTAAAACATTGAGTCAAATGTCATTGGTAGCACAAGGATTACCACTGAGGAACCCACTTTAACAAAATGAGAGAGAGAGAGAGAGAGAGAGAGAGAGAGAGAGGGTGTGAGAGAGACATGAGCACTCAGTCAGCCAGCCAGCAGAGACTACCGTACTATCTATATGTGCCCACTGCTGCTGCTGCTGCTGCTGGGAGGATGTAAAGGCGGCAATGTTCCATGTACCTAATCAAAACTGTGAAGAGGGAGTCCACAAGAAAGAAACCAAAGCAACGATACCCAAAAGTCTTTTATAGGTAGAGAGAAAAAGGCAGCCAAGATTTTGAAGAAAATGATGGCACGGGGGGGGGGAGATAGATAGGATCAAAGATGCATAATGGGAGGGGATATTTATTGCTCGATCCCCACATTCTTTCTCTCTCAATTTCCCATAAAAGGATTGCTTATTTTGGTATTCTATATACTAGCGTGGGCCCCGGCCATTTGGCCGGATGATAATATAATGGGGTGTATAGCTTATTGTTGTATAGTTTTTTTTTTTTTGGGAAACACGTGATAAAAATAGTGAATTTTAGTAGAAAAGAGACATGAATGATGCAACGAATCAAAAATCAGCCCTATGAACCAAAATCAAGTACATGTTACCTTGTGAAACAATATTGTTTCTGGTAATATGATGAGGTGGAGTAAGTTTTATAGAAACCGAATTCCAGAAAATCGAATAAAAAATCGCATATCCTGCCGATTTTCGGGAAATGAGCATCTCACAATCGTTGCTAGCTTTTACTCGGCCCGTTGGCCGATTAATTTGCTTTATAAAACTTTCATCTTCTCATCATTGTGTTTTCTGGTTTTTTGCCAAGCCATGATAAAATCTAAAGAAATCAAGAATGAACAGCACGATTTGGGATAGGAACCACCGTTCCTGTATCCCAAGAAAATGGTGGTAAACACGGACTCACCTGCCAAACTGGTTTGGATTGAGATTTTTATAGGGTATCAGAGAACCATGTGATTATAAATTAGACTTGATCACAATGGGCCAAAACTTGAAATTCAGCTTGTTTGACCGACCCATGCCAAACTCTAATTATTCTTTACTTTTAAACTTTATATTTGAAAATAAAAAATAATGAAAGAAAAGAGATGACTGCAATTCACCATTTGCACATCACTGATTCGGGAATAAAACTATAGAATTTCGAAAGGAAACTGAAACTGTTTAGGATCGTTTTAATGTTAAAAATAACCAAATAGATATTTCTGTTTAGTTTTTTTACTAACAAATACCAAACGATTCCCTATAATATACACTATAATTTAATCATTATGATATCAAATAATTACATAATATATATTTGAAATGATAAAAATTGAACTAATTGAGTTGGTCGAAGTTGAACCATTGAATAACTTTAAAATACATTATATTTTAGCCACTAAGATATAAAATAATAGCATAGTATATATTATGCTAGAGAAAATAGCTTGTTTTAGAATGGCAAACCCATGATGTTCATTTGTTTTACTTGATGGGCAAATCCCATGTAGGTCAGACCCGTTCAACTCTTTTATTTTATGATTAGCGGTTAGCCCATTAGAATCCATGCATTAGTTTATTGTTAATTTTTTTCTTTTTAGAAATAAAAAGGAGTATTGATTTTGCCTTTTCATATATATATATTTTACCACCACGGAGAAATAAAAGGACTTAAAGAAAAAAATTGACACTCCTGGACCCGTTTAAATCCGCATGTGTACGGTAAGTTGGCCCGTTCCACAGAGGAAAAAGGAAAAAATTGACACTCCCTATTCTACTCTTCCTACAAACGCTACTGGAGCAGGGAATTTTAAATGGGGGAAGAGTTTTTTCCTCTCTGCAATTATATGTTTTTAATTTAAAAAGATACAACAAATGTACTTAGTGTGATTGGTTATGATCTTTGTTTTTCTTTAAAATGGTCATGGTTCGAATCCTAGTAAGTGTCTTTTTAATGAATAAAAAAAAATAATTGTGAAGACCAAAATGTCCTTCCTACTTTCACTCTGGATGCAGGAAATTTGAAATGGGGCTTCAAGTTTTCTCATTTGGCTTTTATTTATTGTGTAGATGTAGATTTCACTCAATCCATACAAGTGCATCTCAATCTAAGTGACGTAGCATAGGGTTTGATCTTCAAGCTCTAATTCCCATGTTACTTTGCTTTAAATAGTTATTATCCAATAAAAAACTAAACTAACTAAGTAGAAAGAATCGATAACTAACTAGTTGGTAGGAAGATAGAGATGAGACGATTACTTAGGATTGAATACTTCTGGTAGTATGGCGAGTATGTGATTGTAACAAACCTTATCACAACTTACCTATCTTCTATGTTGCGAAAAAAATATCTTAAGGCTGATGATTCCTGCAATGGTCATGTCTCACCGCGCCACTCTTCTAGGCAACTAAGTTAGGTCAATGGTCATGTAACTAACTAGGTACGTAGATCGTAAGGTCCATACTTTGTATTGGAATTAATCTTTATGCAAATGACATTACAACTCATGATGGTCATGTAATTGTAACCTCGCAATATCGATGGGTGTTCTATCTCTCCCTAGTGCAATGGTCATGCCTCCTCGGTCAAGAACAACACATACAATCCAATCACTTGATGAATGACAAACATATAGCAAGATGAACCATCAATAGACATAGACGATGGATAGAAAGTCAAAGCTAGTTCATATTCAATCAACAAAATCCAGCTAAATATTATAATTTATCTCTCGTAAGCAACTTGAGGAGCTTAACACGTAGAGAGAAAAAGATACAAACTAGAAAGAGAAGTCAATTTTGAAATCATCTTATTCTCCTTGGATTGCACCATTCGCCTCGGTTCTTGGATGAATTATTCCTTTCTCAGCTCATTCAATGTGTTTTCTCACTAAAAACAACCTAAAATCCTATTTTTTCCACTCTAGGTTAACTCCCTTTCCTCAAGGGCTGAAATTGGGATTTTCTAGTAAAATCCGAGCATGGGTGGAAGTATGGTGACCTTGGCGCCCATATTGTAAAAATCAGAGAACCTCCATCTCATGCATTGTACATTGTGTATGTTTGTTTAATTTGTTTATATCGGTAGATAATTGTTGATATTTCGTTTTGATCTTGATAATGTGGTTTAATTAGTTAAGAACTATGGTGATGTGTAGTATCGTTATCCAAATTGATATTAACATGTTTGTTGGCCTAGTTATTATCCTTTTGGAATAAGTTTTGGAATGTTGCTTATATACTTGCACATCCCGTCAATTTCACCACGTATAGAGACCATACATTCAGTTTAATAGCTGACCCTTTGTGTTTTCAGACTCGCATGTGTCATATTGATTGGTAGCGTTTGATCGTACATCATATATCTTAGGTGGGGAATGACCCTTGTTTTGCCATGGTCACTAATAACATTTGAGATTTTCGACGCTTAATAAATGACTAAATGATTAAGCTTTGGGAAGATTATTATTTTTCTTATGGAGATTCTTGAAAATATTTGGTTTTTATTGTTAAACGATGAACTACGAATTTTTATATGTAAAAATGTGCAACTTTTGGAATAGAGGGGATGGGGAGTGTAAAGTGTTACAAATATCAACGCCCAATTTTGTATAATTTTTTTTTTCAGACTTGGGAATCCTTAAAACTGGTAACTTGGTGGAAGCTGAAGAAGTTCCCCGCCATTCTCATTCTTACTTTCCCGCCATTATCTGCCACTAAAGACCACTCACTGAAGCTCCACATTTTACCTAATCGAAGAGGCGAAGCTAGCTCGAATCCTATCGCTCTCTGTAACTCAAGAGCACCATCGACTCTTTATCCCAAAGGAGAAATGGGCGACACCGATTTTCACGAATCAAACCAACTGCCTGAACTCAAGCTAGGTATAAACCCTAAGTGGTTTCTCATCTAAAACGTTCTTCATTTGTTTTCAATTTTGTGCGGTTGTGATGGATGATAAAAACTGATTCTTTTTCGTCTCTTTCTCCGCTTCTCTCTTTGGGTTCAAACTTTTGATCAGATTCTAAGCAGGCTCAAGGGTTTCTCTCTTTCTTCAAAACCCTACCGGAGGTAAGCATCCTCTCTTTCTCTGATTCTGTTCGACTGGCATGGTAGACGAAGCCAGAGAGCTCGAGTTACTGATTTTTTTTTTTTAATTTTCCTCTTCTTGCTGCTGCAGGACCCTCGGGCAGTTCGGCTCTTTGATAGACGGGTTAGTTCGAACTTTCATATGAGTCTCTTTCTTTTTTTTTTTTTGCTTGAATCAGTATTGTTGTGTGATGAAAGTTCGAAATCAGTGTCCTCTCAAATTTTAGAAGCTGTTTTACATTTGCTCCTAAGAAATTTCACTGTCTCTGTCTGTCCTGGACGCCATTGCTTGATGTTATTTGTTATTTATAGGAAGGTGCATGTATGTTCCTATTCCTGATGACTACTTACACTTCATGAATTCGGCCTTTAATTATTATAGGAAAGAACTCTTGTGCATTTCTCAGAAGATTATAGCTGTACCACCTCTCAGGGGAAGTCGCATTTAGCATGATTTAACCTTTTCTTCTTCTTCTTCTTCTTCTTCTTCTTCTTCTTCTTCTTCTTCTTCTTCTTCTTCTTCTTGTAAATGATGTTACCTGCTCCCCATTACATCGCGGTAAAAGTAGCATTTCAGTTTTGTTTTCCTCTGCATGACAGAAGGAAAACTTGTTAAGAAAAGGATAGGAGATACTGTCTTGTTCCATCTTACAATGACAGAATATTGAGTTGCACTGCTCTGAAGTGGAGTAATGTTCTTCGCGGAGAGATCCTGTTATTATTTAGACCACAAGATGCATAGATCTATCTCGGTACCGCCGTACCGGTTAACACAATCTTTTCAAGGTTCAATATATGTCTTTATAGTGCTCTGAGATCTGGTTGAATGGGCTGTCGCACATATATATTCTCCTTATTTCTGTATTCGTTTAGATCTCCTTAGCTCTACAATCGTGAGCAGTTCAGTGGCATGCAAATGCCTAACAATGGACGTCTTTAGGCACAAAATGCACCTAAATTAATCTCTTAGCGGTGCAGCTTATGCTTATATTCAATTTGTTGACTGCTGTGATCGCGGTTTCCTTTTCTTTTCTTATCTTTTGCAAAATTTGGCTATGCATTGCAGCATGATTTAGCTGCTTTGTTTCCAGAAAAAGTTGGCACTGTTAGCATACTTCCTAAGATAGAATATAACTGTGAATTTGTATTCAGTAGAGCTCCTTATGCTTTGTAAGTTTTTATATGCTCAAGCTCCTTCCTTCTCGTCCTTTTCCAATACAGGTTTCCAGTAATTTAATTGATTTTGTATGAATTTTCAGGACTATTATACCGCTCATGGTGAAAATGCAACTTTTATCGCCAAGACTTATTACCATACAACTACGGCTATGCGGCAATTGAGTAATGGGTCTGATTGTCTTTCGAGTGTTAGCATCAATAGAAATATGTTTGAAACAATCGCCCGGGATCTTCTTCTGGATAGAACTGACCATACCCTTGAACTCTATGAGGGAAGTGGGTCTAATTGGAAACTGGTAAAGAGTGGAACTCCGGGAAATCTGGGCAGTTTTGAAGATGTTTTGTTTGCCAACATTGAAATGCAAGATTCTCCTGTGGTTGTTGCACTCAATCCAAACTTCCGTGAAAATGGGTGCACAGTGGGTTTGAGCTATGTTGATTTGAATAGAAGAGTTTTAGGGCTGGCAGAATTTATGGATGATAGTCACTTCACAAATGTTGAGTCAACTTTGGTTGCTCTTGGCTGCAAGGAATGCCTTCTACCTATTGAAGCTGGCAAAGCGAGTGAATATAGAGTTTTGCATGATATCATGGACAAATGTGGTGTCATGTTAACGGAGAGAAAGAAAAATGAGTTCAAAGCAAGAGATTTGATGCAAGATCTGGGTAGGCTTATCAAAGGAACTACTGAGCCAGTGCGAGATATGGTTTCTGGATTTGAATTTGCTCCTGTAGCTTTGGGGGCCCTGGTGTCTTATGCAGAATTGCTTGGAGACGAGAGTAACTATGGAAAGTATAGCATACAGAAATACAATCTTGATCTCTACATGAGGCTGGATTCTACAGCCATGAGGGCACTGAATGTCCTTGAAAACAAAACTGATGCAAACAAAAACTTCAGTTTATTTGGTTTATTGAATAGAACCTGTACTGCTGGGATGGGTAAAAGATTACTTCACATGTGGTTGAAGCAACCCCTTTTAGATGTGGAAGAAATCAACTCCAGGTTGGACTTGGTTCAGGCTTTTGTAGAGGATGCCACAGTCCGCCAAAATTTGAGGCAACATTTGAGAAGAATCTCAGATATTGAGCGACTAGTGCGTAATCTTGAGAAAAGAAGAGTTGGTTTGCACCATATCGTGAAACTTTATCAGGTGGTTTCCTTTTCCTTACTCCATCTTTAATCTTATGATAGCCATACACCAATGATGGATACGTTTGTACGGTCATTTTAGTGCTGCTAACATTTGGAAAGCATGAGATATTTGTCTTCCAAGTTAATACCGTCCTTTTTCTCACTTCCCTATTGCTTCTTTGGTGTTCTTTTTTCGTATTATTATTATTATTATTATTATTATTGTTGTTGTTGTTGTTGTTGTTGTTGTTGTTGTTGTTATTATTATTATTATTATTATTATGCATAGTTAGAGGAATACAGTAGTCAATGAAAACTTCTATTTTTTTGTGGGTTTGGGATATCGTGATTGCACATTCTGTTTTTTATGTGCTCTTTTCTGTCCACAATGGACATCTACCTCCATACCTGGCTGGTTACTATGGGGATAATAATCTGGTCAAATCTGAAATCTCTTTGCGTTACATGCTTTCGCTTTTTATTTTTAAATTTGACTAAGCTAATTTCTGATTAACTTCTCGATTTTTTGCCAAACCAGTCTTGCATAAGGCTTCCATTCATCAAAAGTGCTTTGGAGGATTACAATGGGCAGTTTTCATTATCTATAAAGGAAAGGTATCTGCAGCCCCTGGAACTTTGGACTGATGATGATCACTTGAATAAGTTTGTAAGCCTTGTCGAAACTTCTGTTGACCTCGATCAACTTGACAATGGAGAATACATGATATCGCCTGGCTATGACTCTGCTCTATGCGTGCTGAAAGAAGAGCAGGAAACATTAGAAAAAGAGATTCATAAGTTGCATAAACAAACTGCTATCGATCTTGATCTTCCTGTTGATAAGGGGCTGAAGCTGGATAAGGGTACACAGTTTGGATATGTATTCAGGATCACCAAGAAGGAAGAACCAAAAATAAGGCAAAAATTGACAACCCAATTGATTGTTCTTGAAACCCGAAAAGATGGTGTGAAATTTACGAACACGAAACTAAAAAAGTTAGGTGACCAGTACCAAAAGGTGGTAGATGACTACAAGAATTGTCAAAAAGAGCTGGTTAATCGAGTTGTGGAAACTACAGCAACTTTCTCTGCGGTATGATTCTTTTCGTTACATTTGCACTTTCAGTGGCCTTTTCTTCTGGATATACTGACCACTTCCACTGCAGGTGTTTGAGTCGTTAGCTGCCATACTTTCTGAATTGGATGTCTTGCTCAGTTTTGCCGATCTTGCTTCAAGTTGTCCTACTACATATACAAGACCGGACATCACCCCAGCTGTATATATTCTGATCTCGTTCTGTTTTCCTTATCATGACGACTTGGTTCTCTGACTTGAGTTTAACCATGCAATGGAATTTAGGATGTGGGGGATATTATATTGGAAGGGAGTAGGCATCCCTGCGTGGAAGCTCAGGATTGGGTGAACTTCATACCTAATGATTGCAAACTTGTGAGTGTCAAAAATACCTAATAATAACTTTTTCTTTTAATGCAACTGCACGTTTACTGATTCTTCCAATTAACCTATCAGGTACGGGGAAAGAGCTGGTTCCAGATAATTACAGGGCCTAACATGGGAGGAAAGTCAACATACATTAGACAGGTGTGGTTCCTTTAAGAAAAATATGTTTGAATGGATATTAACCATTTCGTATCACCTGTAACATTGCTTACTTACTTTGGAGGAATGGGTTTTGTCAGCAGTTTTATTTTATTGTGCATTCAGAACCAAACATCATGGTAAAATATAAACAAATGCAATGTAACTGACTAAGATTCATTATTGCTCCACGGCAACAATTCCAGAACATTTTGTTGTGTTTTAAAATCTACTAATGTGTTGGCTTTTTGTGCAGGTTGGTGTGAATGTTCTCATGGCACAAGTAGGTTCTTTTGTTCCTTGTGACAAGGCTAGCATTTCTGTCCGTGATAGCATTTTCGCTCGTGTTGGTGCCGGTGACTGCCAAGTGAGTAGTTTTCCTATATACATTGGTATTTCTTCGCATGTGCAGGGCAAACTAATAGAGTGGATTTGAAATCTGACTTGTTCAACCGATAGCCTGGCAGAACCCTAGAAGAAGACCAGATATAGATAAAATCCTTTTCTGTTGTTTCTATTTCAGTGTTCGCAAACTCTTTTCTAGTCTGGTGAGTTGTAATGATGCAAAAATAAATGTGCCAACATAAATCTGATGCACTAAAGAATAATTTCTTGTATGAACCAAGCAGTTGCTGTTTGCTTCTACTTAAAATCGGCAATGTCATTTTACTAAAGTAGTTATAAAAAATGATGCAGTTGGAGAAGATTTACATAAAATTCAACAATGTTATGCCTTACTTTCTTATTTAATATATCAATTAGTAGGCTATCATATCTTTCGTGTGGAAATGACTTCTAATATTGTTTAAACCCGTTATTCTGATATTTGTTGTTTAGTTTTAACTCACACGCCTTTAAAGTTGAAAATGAGAAATTTGTTTTTCTTTTCTAAGAAAGGGGTCAGTTTTCTTAATTACACTATCCATATTTTAGAATATCATGGTTTTCTCCTATCAATCGTTCTTTGATTCAGAACATATTTGTCTTACTCTTGTCCCTTTCACTTTCCTGCTCATTGAAGAAGACTGCAATTCTATTGAGCATCCAAGATTGTTTTTAGATTTTTTCAACAGAAGGTATCTTGATTCGTATCAAGAGCCTGCTGAATAACTAGGGACAAAATGTCTTTGAGAGTTATGATGCCCATCCTATTTGCCTGGAAGCACTTGCAAAATGCCTGTCTTCTCCTGCGCCTTCAGAAATCAGTTGTAATCTGTGTTTTCTTTGCTTGCTTGGCTGCTGTCGAATATCATTCATCCTGAGTTTTTTGTTTCCTTAAGCTTAAGCAGTCTTGAACATCCTTCTAGATTTCTCTTAGCTTAAATTATCCTGGATGAGGCTGGACTTGTTTGCCTTTTTTGCTGCTGAAATGTTTGTTTCACTGGATATGACTGGAAGCTGACTTATTTGTACTGATTCATGGAAATGTCTTCCTTTTTATAGCTACACGGGGTTTCCACTTTCATGCAAGAAATGCTTGAAACTGCTTCAATTCTGAAAGGAGCTTCAGACAAGTCATTGATAATTATTGATGAGTTAGGTCGTGGGACTTCCACTTATGATGGATTTGGTATGGCCCTATTACATTCCAATTTTCTTTCAGTTGTATTGAAGTCTGCATTGCAATTGCTTGGAGTGTACTGATTTCTGAACTTGTAATCAAGTGATAGATACTATATGTTTGGTCCCGGTTGAGTTATTTTGTATATGCGTTCATTTATTTCTAGGGGAAAGGAGTAGTCCCAGCTGGAATTCCCTTATCTCGTTGAGAGAGAAAACATGCTTCTTGCTGGCTATTGAGAGGCAAAAGTTGCAGATATAGTGCTTTATAATTGATAAAGTTACTTCATGATACTTTTATTCTGAAGTTCTGCGCTATATAATGTCTGCCAATCCTTCTATTTGGTTGTGCTGTTTAAGGAACATTGGAGTTGTTGTTGCCTTTGTTTGGTGTGCACATAATGTAATGGAAATAGGCTGATGATGTGTTTCATTCTTCTGATGTTCAGGTTTAGCATGGGCCATCTGCGAGCACCTAGTCCAAGTGGTCAAAGCACCCACTTTGTTTGCAACCCATTTCCATGAGCTGACTGCATTAGCTGACAAGGAAGCAGACAACACATCTGACGGGAAGCCAAAAGTTGCTGGTATAGCTAACTACCACGTTAGTGCTCACATAGACTCATCAAGCCACAAGCTCACCATGCTATACAAGGTACAGATGCAATCACTTTTAGTAGGACCCAAGTATTGGATTTCTACGAGTTTTACTGTCTTCTGCGTAATTGCCCTCCAAGTGATGTGTGATTATGAGCCATTGTGTCAACCGTAGGTTTAAATGGATGTGAGTAATAGCTATGATTGGTTATCCCATTTCTTCTCCTTTCCAGGTTGAGCAGGGTGCTTGTGATCAGAGTTTTGGGATTCATGTTGCAGAGTTCGCAAACTTTCCTGGAAGTGTTGTTGCTCTTGCTCGAGAGAAAGCTTCTGAATTGGAAGGTTTCTCGCCGAGTGATATCGTTTCAAATGATGCAACAGATGAGGTAAGCTACCATTTAAGATCTAACAGCTCCCCGAACTGTGGTCCAAGATTGGAAGGTTATGATGTCGTGCATTAATTTCCAATTCTAATAATGTTCAGGGGGACTTGAAAAGGAAAAGGCAAATCGATCATGACGACATATCGAGAGGGCAAACAAGAGCTCGACGGTTTCTGAAAGAGTTCTCCAATTTGCCAATGGAGAAAATGGACTTGGATCACTTGTGCGACAAGGTAACGGAGATTAAAGGAGGATTGGAGAAGGACGCAGCAAATTGTCAATGGCTTCAGCAATTCGTCCCAAGTCGTTCTTAGATAATGTACAGTTGGGCACGGTTTGCACATCACTGGAACATTTTGGAGTAGATTAGCCATAATCTAAAGACTGTCCGCTACAGGCTTTCATTTTGCCTTTTCCCTCTGTTTTTGTAATTTTGCTTCTTCCATTCCGTAGGGGAGTTGGAGGGGGGAAAGAGGGTCAACGGGATTAGAGAGATTTTGCTTTCGAACAGGGTAGATGCAAGCTGAGAATTAGGTATCGTACCATGTCCCAAAATTCTGTTAATACGAATTTTCTTGTGACCTTTTTAAAGTAACCATTTTGGTTCAAGTATTCAACATTTTGCAGGCCTAAATTACTAGCAGCAATACGTGACTACAAAACCAGAGAGCACTGACTACACTGTACTCGTTTCTTTGTCTCAAAACTAGACGGTTAACTTACCTGCTGCAGTACATTTTTTAAATTATAGATCCTACAATACATTCAAATCATAACAGCAAAGCAGGTTCACCCGTTCCAATGAATCTCAGATTGATGCTTCTATCCAATCAATGTATCTCAGTCAATGCTACATACACTAAACACAGGAGAAGACAGATCGAGCGTTGCGATGGAATTCTGGAATTAGTCGAGTTTTTAGCTGGTTTTCCGGTCGCCTTGTTGATTCCGTGACTCTAAGAACAGCCGCACAGTTGAGTAGATCACCGATGGTTCAGCCATTGCACCATTACCATAATCTCCACAAGCCAACCTCTTTGAAACAGGTGGGATTAGGGTAATCCCGATTTCATCGATTCCCATGAGATGTCTTTCTGTGAAAGGGTTGGTCCACATGAATGTGTTCATGGCAGGTGCCACAAAAAGTGGCTTCTCGTAGTCCCATGCTCGGACAACACACGTCAGCAGGTTATCGCACAATCCCCCCGCGATCTGCATTTATACAAATATGAAGGGAAGAAAAAAGAAAGATAGTTAGCATCAAGTAATCCCTAACAACCTGCAAAAGAAACCAAGTTAACAGGGGAATTATAGAGCAAAGTATATTGGGATTTGACATGCAAGTTTTCAACTTGCATCAATCAATGACTTTAACTGATTGTTAAAGCAAAAACTTAAGAGTTAGGGCCTTCCTGTTACTTAAATAAGTGGATGGATCGAGCAAATTACCTTCCCGAGGGTATTAGCTGATAATGGGGCAATAATCATGACATCAGCCCATCGACGGAGTTCAATATGCAGCACGTTATCCCCAATCTTGCTCCAAGTAGACCATTCATCCTCGTCTGTGTATAGAACCACATCCTTAGGAAGCGCTGCTTTATCAATGAAATGCAGAGAAGCTTTGGTAGCGACCGCTTTTACTTCAGCCCATTCAGAGAAACAGTGGCAGAGGTTTGCAAACTTGATGGCAGCCACACTCCCACTAGCAGCAAGCAGAATCCTTGGTTTCCTGCTAGGCTCCGCTTTTGTATGAACAACTTCCCTCTCTCTTTTGGCCATGGAGCTAGAAATCTGTCCATTTCGAGCCAATGCAGAAAAAAATTTCAATACTCTGATATCTAGCAATTCAAAATAAAAACCAAATGTCCTCAGCACAAAAGCAAACTCATTGAAGCAATAGGTCGAACACTCTCAATCCAATCAACGGATAGTCCATTTAACCTCTAGAACTCACTTCTTTTAGACATCTTATATCTCATAACAGCTCTCACCCAATCCCACAAAAGTCGAGGATGACCCTTACCCATTGATTATCATCACGTAACATCTCCATGGGTGAGAACTTTCTCCCCCGAAATCGGTGTTTTCATGGTGATCAAAACAGCTAGAAGTGTTCCCTAATTCAAACCATAACCGTTAAATTGAACGCAAACCCAGCACCAAGTTGAACAAGGAGAAAAATCATATACTAAATTTCAAGCGAACCCAGTAGATTAGATGTCAAACAAATAAGGTTCGGAATCTGCATTCGAAAATTCTGTCCGACTAGTACTAACTGAACAGTGAACCAGATTTTAAAAGACTGAGGAGAAAGCGACTGAACTTACAAAGAACTTGAGTTGTTGAGCAGAATTGGTAGAAGGAAGAGAGAAGCGGCAGGTCCGAAGCACGGGAGACTGAAGAGAGTAGGGGAAAATCAGAACTTTGAGGATGCCGGGTTTGTAGTCCCTGTGGCGCGCGCCCTTTTTACTTCTTCTTCTTGGTTGATTTCAAGTGCAATCTTGTTTCTGTTCTTCGACCTGCGATTTCTAGGTTTGCACGAAGGAATCCTTTGATATCGATGAGAAAAGATACTTGAATAATATAACCGCCGGTATACCGGAACAACCGGAAGTACTTGGGGCGGGCTTGAATTAAGACTGAAATCGGCCAAACGGCAGCAGGAATAAATTAAATATTGCAGCTGAGAAGCTTTGGTGGCAAACAAAGAAGGAAAGTTTCGCCCTCTTCTCCAGTTCTCCCTATCTCAATTCTCGGCTACGGCAGCGGAAACCAGAAGTGTCGCCCTCTTCTCTCCATCTCAATTCTCAGCTGCGGTTGCGGTTGCGGCTGGTATCTGTTAATTGTGTCGAGCGGGAGACTATCTAGTCCTTTTCTTGCTTGTTTGTCTTCAATCAATTGAGAACCTGCAATTTCCCTCACTCGAGTCGAAACCCTCGCCAAGAACAAGTGAAGTTTGATATTGGAATTTGATCGAAGCAAAAGAAAAATGGCTTCCACGATTGTGTTTGTAAAACAACCAGCGTCTGAAACACTTTGTCCAAAAGTGAAATCGGGCCTGAGCCCACTCAACTGAGAGCCCAATTCCTCTTCCTTCTTTCCGCCTGTAGATTACAACTTGTGGTCCAAACAAATTAACTAAAAGACAAGTTTTTGAGAAAAAAAGACAAGTTTCCCTTTACCTAAACTCACCGTTTTAACACCTGATTCCAGGCTCAAGATAGGGTGCATAACCATGGGTTATGCACCCATCAATAACCAAATCTGGACCCTTCATTTAGAAAATCCAGATCTAATGATCGAGAATTAAAGACTATTTTTATTTTCACTAGCTTTCTTAATTGACTCATATCTTTTTCGTTTTAACTCGGATTTTAATTTTTTTTTGCACAGATGGAACGAGTTCACCGTGCTCTACAAAATGAGATCAATTTTCAATATTTTTTTAGGAAAAAAAAATTCTGGCCTCTCGGTACCAACTGCATACCATATGGTATCTTCTTTGTTTTTAATTCGTTTTTGAAAACGTTTGCACAGCAGGGATGAGTTCATCATGATCTACTGGATCTACAAATTTCTGGGTGAACAAATTACAGGACCAAAAAATACCACACAATACCATACAATACCACCCTGGTACAGGGTGGTATTGTATGGTATCTTCTTCGTTTTTAATTCGTTTTTGAAAACGTTTGCACAGAAGGGACGAGTTCATCATGATTTATTGGATCTACAAATTTCTGGGTGAACAAATTACAGGACCAAAAAATACCACACAATACCATACAATACCACCCTGGTGCGGGGTGGTATTGTGTGGTATACAATGTTAAAAGTCGTAAATTACAATTAATATACTTCTACTATCATGTATTCAACCATCCTACAGTATTGGTTTGTTCATACCACCATGGTACGTTTTTCAAAACATAGGTATGCTTTTATTTCAATACCAGTCAATACCATATGGTATAGGCTGGTAAAAAATGGCTCAATTTTTTTTGTTCGAAAAATATATTAAAGTGGATATCATTTCGAAGAGCACAATTAATCTGATCTAACTGTGCAAAAAAAAATTAAATTTCGACTTAAAATGAGCGAAAAATCGTCCGTCAAAGATTAAAAAGGGAAAAATTAAAGGCTTTCCATGAGAGAGAGGATGCTGATGTCATGCTGATGTGGACGAGTTACTCATGGTTACTCACCATAAGGTTACTGACCTGATCCATTCCCCTGATTCCAACCCTTCTTCCTCTAGGTTCTTCGATCAAATATCCCTGCAGCAGCCAACAAGGTTTGACAAACAACACAAAAAACAGAGTATAGAACGAAGATCGGAAACGAAGATTGGAATTGAAATTGGTTGTCCATCTATGATCAGCCGGTATAACCGGTTGATAGCCGATAACCGACTATCCGGTTATCCGGTTAACCGGTTATAAATCGGTATCGGTAGTCGGTACTTGTTTTGTCAATTACGGTATACCGGTAACCGGTTTATCGGTAACCGGTTTAACCGGTAACCGACCGATTACCAGCCCTACTTGAATCTGAAAATTGATCATAATTGATTCCCAACTTGTTTGTCAAAAACGCGCAGCACCAAGGAAGCAGTGGGCCGAAAATTTCAGCCCAATACTTTATAACGGGCGTGTACCTCAATACTCATGCCCTCTATGCTACTGAGGATTGCGGTCGATAATACTCGCGGATATAGACGTCGTGGGTCGACTGAAAAACAATTAAATTCTCAAATTCGATACTAGTTCACCAAATGTTATGAATACTTGTTCGTAAGTTGTTATAGTACTAGACTATTATGAATACATGTCCAACGCGTATGAATATGTGTTCATTTGTGCGAAAAATTTGTCTGTTCTGGAGTCGAATACTTGTTAGACGTTTCCAAATATTGGTTAGAGGCTACTTCAACACTACTCATACCTCATTGTCAATGTATGGAATATAGTTTTTATCTAAAATTGATTTTGATTTACCTAGTATTGAATATGAATTCAACTAATACTAAAGTTTAGTTTACCTGGTATTAAATATGAGTTGAGCTGACGCTGAAATTGAGTTAACTAGATAGTGAATATGAGTTGAGCTAAGCTTAGAACATGACTTTACAAATAAATGGTGGGCGCCATACGAATATCAATTAAAACTTAAAAGCATAATATTGAATATGAGCTCCAACATGAGTTTTTGTTGACACGGAATATTACTTTAGTTGGTATTTAATATGAATTGAAATTTGAAGAAATCTGAATTGACCTGATACTAGGTAAACTCATATTCAGTATCAAGTCAATTCATATTCATTATCAGTTCCCTTCATTCTGTTTCATTTCAAATATTTCAAACTTATATTCGATACCCGGTCAACTCATAATCATCTAGATGGGAACTCATATTCAATACCATGTAACCACAGATTAGTCCAAATAATAACTATTTCATTAATAAAAGTTGCATTAAGAAAGAAGGCCGCATATCCTTTCTACTACACCAACTATGATTGATTTACTTCTTTTTTCTTTTATTGTTGTTGGCTTGTATCTTATTGTAGTTAACGTTAATAATAAGAGGCATTAGCTTATTCTCTCTAGAAAAAAAACAGGACAAGGAATGTACTTTTTTATATGGTTTGGAAAAAAAATCTAATAAAAAAAGCAAATCTAATGTGGTCCATTCATTACTTTAGACTTTAAGATTACTTTTTTTTTATTGTATTAGACACATGATCGAAGGCCAATTCATTACTTTTCTATGTTTAAATTTATAATTAAAATTAGTACTCCATAAAAGTAATTAGCATTATATATAACTAGACTTATGCCCGCCCTGTTGGCCGGGATGTGTTTCATTTGATTATTAGACCAATTCATTTGAATATATAGTTAAACTATTTTCGATATTTAAATTTCTTATGTTTTTTTAATATATCTATATAAATAAATTGGAAATTCTCTCGTGTTAATCTAAATGTTTTGTGGAAGTTTGGACTATGAGCTAACGGTTTAACCAACCAATGAATATTTTTTTAAGGTAACATAAGCATTACATGTTCTTAAGTCGAAATTCTCGACTTTTACTCCATGCATATTAAACATTGATTGAGTCGGTCATAGACATATAGAATGTATAATAATCAATAATTGTTTTTATGAGTAGATTGATGCTAACCAAGATAGTCAAATTTATTATCTTATAAATATATATTGTGAATTTAGGGTGAGTATAAACTAAATATCATTTGACAATGAATTTATAATTGTATTAAATTAATTTAAATTGAGATTCTACTTAAGATAGTAATTTTTATTCATTTGAAATTAAATTTTGCTATGTTTTTATGGTTAAGATACTTTATCGTTGATGTACTCTTTTATAAAGGAAAGAGATTTTGTTATACTTATATCTGAATTCAATCCATGGAGAGTTTTTGGTAGAATAAAAAGTACACTTTAGAAAAAGAAAATACACCCCATTCTTAATAAAAACAAAACACGTCTGAAAAATTGAACGGAAAAAAATGGATAACCACCGCCTACAAATTGCAGCCATTAAAAGTTTAAAAAAATACAAAATTCCGAGAATTGCGGGCTGCGCTTAAAGGCGTACGTGGCAGAGGCACTTTTCTAACTGGCCTGACTAGTGACTAAACTGATCTCTTCTTCTCTCACATACATTTGTGTTTAGAATTGTCATATTAAATATTTTATAATTGAGATTACGCTTTTTTATAGTTTGATTATTCCTATAATATAATTAGCCCAAAATTTAAAAAAAAAACTTCTAGTTTCCATCATCATCATGTGTAAATTAAAATTTAAGGTACCTGTGCAACTCTTACTGTTAACAATTTTCTCTAGCTGTACTCCTACAAGTTGTGCTCTCTACCAGTTATTCAAATTGGGAAAGACATACCCAATTTCTTAAGAACCATTTTCCAAAAGGAGGCCTAGCTAGCTAGATGGTCTATTTCCCCAATTTTTTGTGACTTTTATTGTCTGTTCCAACTTCCAACAATATAAATATAAAAACAACCTTCTGACATACACTTGTTCAAGGAAATTAAATTCAGACCAATCACAAAGTCATTTACTTCAGCAATCACATTGGTGTGTCGTAGCGAATTCTCAAAAGAGACTGTAAAACATGCATATTGTTACAATATAACTTAGAATAATTTGGAAAAATATGAATCTAGAGTTGTTTGTTTCTTTTCATCTCAAACTTTGTTCATTACACTCAAAATCTTCTGTGTAGCCTTATGTATTGCAACAAGTAGTTTTGAAGAGTCAATACGAGTATACGACTTTAAGCGTTTCTTTTTGCATGTGCGATTCCAAAAATGTTGAAGGTAAATAATCTATAAGAATACGTTGAATATTTATCTAGGGGTCGTTTGGAAGTTGCGATTGTTAAATAGATGTATTGTTGAGAATGCATGTATAATATTATACATGTATTGTCGAATTTGATGCATTGTAGAATACAACGTTTGGTATGTGTGATTGTGTATGTCGCATCAGCTAAAAGCTTAGACAAAACAATCTCAACTCAACTATCTCAACAATCACAACTAAAAGTTGAGATATAACAATCACTCAAAATGAGTGATAGTTTCTGTCACATCAAAGAAACAATCCATGTATTGTTTCTGCTAGAAAAACAAAAAAACGATGCATTGTAAACAATACATGCATAATGACAATCTCAACAAAACAATCGCAACTTCCAAACGACCCCAGGACACCTAAACTAAACATGCTTGAATAAATAATTTTCATCTATGAGATTTCGTTGGGTTACGTAGTCAACAAAGTGCAACTCGTGAGCTATGGTTAGCGAGCCACCTCGAGTAGCAACTTATAGGCGAATAGGTTAATAGCTTATCAGTTGACTTGTTGATAATTCATAGGTTTGTTAGATTGTATTACATCACCACATATAATGCTTAAGACTTTTATTACATGATCAAGTATGTCTCTTCGATATTTTTAAAGAGAAACTATGTATCATAGATTGTTCATATACTTATTACTATTGACATTATATGAACAATTAAAATTTATAGACTAAATTATATGATACCCAGAGCTCGAATCATTCTCACCAGCTAATTGATGAGCCAAACTCGAATACAGCTCGTGATCTCATTAGCAAGCCAAACTCGAGTTGAGCACTTGAGTCAAACACAAACTAAAGTTTTAGGAAACAAGTCGAACTCAAACTAAATCAAAACTCGACTCGGCTCATTTGCCACCCTAATTTAGATAAGAGAACATCTTATACAGTTGAATTGCCAACGGCTGTACAACGTAATTCACCAGAATCCGTTGAGGAAACAGAACGGGGTTGCTGTCTCAGTTGCTGCAACGTACCTATGCATCAAAATCATCACATAAAAATCAACCCTTTTGCTAGCTAACATTCAAAGGTCGTATCTTTTCATCAGAAGAACCTAACCATCTTACCAACAACAACAAACATCAACGTACAGTGGTATTAACACCCGACGAGAGAAGAAAGCGTTGCCACCTAATTCATTCATTCATTCACTCTCGCCTAATCTATAAGATGAAATTATATCGAATCGTCCGATTGTTCCCAAGTCTCGTCAAGTTCCCCTGGCTGGCATGTATCAGCACAGAGAATCTCAAACCATGTCGCCGGCCGAGGGTCGAACAATGATCATCGGCTCGGCCGGGTTCATCGGCTGGTTCCTGGCCGATGCATGTCTCCAATCCGGCCGTCCTACTTACCTTCTAGTCCGCTCCGGCCCAGGATTCGCCTCTCGTTCGTTGAAGTCCTCCAAGATCAAGTCCCTCGTGGACAGGGGAGCCACCATCCTTCACGTAAAAAACATATCATTCATTCTGTTTCTCGCATGCTGTTTTACTTCGACTCTTACTGGACGTGACGGAGAAAATGGAGTTGCATTTGATGATGATGAACAGGGTTGTGTGAAGGACGGGGAGCTGATGGAGAAGCTGATCCGAGAGAACAAGATCGAGGTGGTGATTTCGGCGGTAGGAGGGGACTGCGTCTGGGACCAGATTCACCTGATCAAGGCCATCAAAGCCACAGGAGGCCTTGTCAAGGTCAGTAAAATCAAATCTAGAGCTACAGCTAGATTTGCTGGTGCAGGGTAACTAATGTATTTTGTATGACGATGCAGAGGTTTCTGCCGTCGGAGTTTGGGCACGACATAGACAGAGCAGAGCCCGTGGAGCCGGGGCTGATGATGTACAAGGAGAAGAGGAAGGTGAGGAGGTTGATAGAAGAGAGCGGGGTTCCTTACACTTACATCTGCTGCAACTCCATCGCTGCTTGGCCTTACCACGACCACACTCACCCTGCTGATCTCCTCCCTCCCTTGGATCGCTTCCATATCTACGCCGACGGTTCTGTCAAAGGTGGGAATCACTCATCACTACCTACTGTTCTAGCTTTACTTATATTTTGCAGTGATCATATTAGTGTATGATGATATGATATGAATTTTGGGGAACTTACAGCATATTTCATTGCGGGGACCGACATTGGGAAGTTCACAATGAGGGCAGTAGAGGATCCTCGGACTCTCAACAAGACCCTGCATTTCCAGCCCCGGACCAACCTCCTCAGCATCAACGACCTTGCCCGCATCTGGGAGTCCCAGCTCGGGCGCAGCCTTCCTCGAGTCACCATCTCCGAGGACGATCTACTCTCTGCAGCCAAAGGTGTGGTTTTCGAATTTATCGGAGTGTTTCTTTGAAGTTAGTTTGATTCCTGTCTGCAGCCTGAAACAAACAGTGGTCCTTCCTTTGCAGAAATGCGTATCCCACAGAGCATAGTAGCTGCCCTGACCCACGACATCTTCATCACAGGGTGCCAGGTTAACTACAACCTCGACAAGCCAACCGACGTAGAGGTCTGCTCCCTCTACCCTGATGCGTCTTTCAGAAGCATCGACGACTGCTTCAAAGAGTTTCATGCCAAGATTGATGATAGTAAGCAGACGAGCAAGCCGCCTCCACCATCCAGTAACAGCAACAAGAACGGGATCATACTCGCCGGTTCCAAAACTGAAGCTGTTTTCATCACAGCCTGAAGCTGTCCTCTGGATCACTATTCTATTCTTAGACTGTCAGTAGTCAATAAGAAAGACAAACAAATGAGTTGCTTGGTTGATCGTTCCTCTTTCCTTTTTTCCTTTCCCTATTCTGGACTCTAATTGCTGGAAACATATGTATTCCCAGCAATTCTGTCTGTGTCATCGTTTCTTTAAACTTGGGATGATTGTTCTCTGCATTTCTGATATGTGATGTAGTCTTGTTGCATGTGCGTAGAGAGTATTGCCTACTTTTGTAATCATAAGCAAGAAAACATTTGTTCTGTACTCAGACGACTAACTGTGATTCCTGCTGTTTAGTATTATCAAAAGAAAGTTCCTGCTGTTTACGGTTCAATCAACACCAAACCAGAGCATATCAACAATTGAATCAAATCAGTTCAAGCCAAACTTAACTTGATCCGGTTTGAATTCCATAATTCCTCTTAAAAGTAAAGAAAAGGTAGACCAAACCAAACCAATACCATTCACAGACGAAATTCTTTCTCCATCCAAACCAGATTTACCATCTCCATCCAATTCTCTCTGTAAAGACAAAGTTAGAGATAATGACATATATGTCGTCCAGTTCATGAGCACGATGCCATCACTGTCCAAATTTCTGAGAATCATCATGAGCAAGTACCACATAATATATGCCCTTGAGATTACAAAACCACCCACTTGCTTTCTTGCACAGATTCGACTAGTTAGTATTTACAACTTTATACAAGGGAACAAAAAGCAACTGGAAACAAACACCTCACTTCACTTGTGGTCCAGTTACTTACCCCAGTTAGAGCATCTTCTGATACCGTCAACTATGCACCATTCATGTATCACCAGCAAAGACAAAAAGGGGCTGTTGACAAACATGTTAGAAGAGACGCTAGACATCGTACACTGGCAACCGCTCCTCGATGGAAACCCTACAGATTGGGCACTTCTTACACTTCTCACAGCATGTGCTGCATGAAAATATGTTCATTAGTCTGAGTTCAGTTGAAATACAAAAGACAAAAAGAAGGGAGCAAATGTAGATGATGGTAGAATCGTGGTCATTTACCTGCAAAGAATCCGATGCCTGCATGGAAGCAGTACAACATTGATCTCGCCTTCAAAGCAAACCCTACACAATACTTTCTCCTGAAAAGTATTTCAAAACCAAATCGTCATTTACCGATCCACCACAGGGTTTTCGCTATTGTTATCAGAAGGAAGAAGAACGAAGGAGCTTCATATTAGCCCTAATGGAAACCAAACATCATCCCTTTCGGATAACCCCCTATTAGTGAGGAAAAAAGAAAGAAAATTTACATTTTGAAGCCTCTCAAACTCCTGCTGACTGTATCGGGTAATTTCTGTTTGCTCACCAAGAGCAGCCTGAAGCCTCCAAACCTGAAGTAATAAAAGAGGAACTTTCAATTCATAAATCCCAGGTTGACTAGTGAAAATAACAAGAAGACTGGAAAAACTCACCTCCTCGGCCAGATCCTTCTTAGGCATTTTCTTAACAATCTCGGGAGGATAACCAGAGAAAGTGTTATATCTGCACATAGAAGAAATGGGTAAATAGAAGACCATAGGTTAACAATTTTAGACTTCAAATTTGCAAACAACATGCAACATAAAAAACTGGGTCAGGGCCCAGTGGTTGGAATGAAGAGAACAAACTACAGTCGGAAGAGAATCTGCAACTACAAAGTCTAGGCTTTTGTTCATTGAGGAAAATTTGTCACCAAACTGAAGGAAACGTACAAATTATATCCTATGAAACTATGTCTAAATAATTCACACAGTCTAATCCTAACAACGGAATGTGGGAGCTCCTTTTGATGCTCGATAACCTTTGGAAACTACTCATCTCAGTTTCTCACTGCATGATTCCTTCTGCTTCATAAAATAAAAAAGTACAACGAAAGAGATTCAAACTGAGAAATGAGCATAAGCAGATCATCTTAAGACACATAAACCATTTTGCCCCTGGTCATGTAATGACTGCAGAAAATCATCCCACACTATGACATGCAGTGAAGATTGTTGATTAATAACATAGAATCATAGACTAACCCAGCAGCACCCTCCTGGTATAGCCTGGCCTGTTCCTCTCTACTCCCTTCATCGATAGACCACCACCCCATTAGTCTGTTTTAGACAAATCAGAAATGCCAAGTCAGTATTTTCTAGATAAATTCCGAGTTCGTTTAATAGAACATTGGCCTAACGGTGAAGGCCAAAAACAGTTACCTGGAACCATGGTGCAAAAACCCCAGGCAGTCATGAAGTCTCGATGAAAATCTGAAGTACCTACCAGCACCAGCTTCGGTCCGCAACAGGAGAATTAGTTTCTCTACCACTTTTGAGACAGCAAGTAGAACACCAGCACCTTGAAGAAGGAAGAGAGGACAGAAAATAACAGGCAGTGGAATATTTTTGGCTCCAGCAGGTGTTCCCTGGATATGATAAATATGGAGATCCGTTAATAACCTGAAAGTCCCAAAATTACTAGTAATCAAATGAATCAAACATGGACCTGTAAACGCATGCAAAGGAGGACTTGGAAGCAAATCAGTGGAATCTTCATGATATGGCCACCAATGTCTTGCAAGCCACAGATTCTTTCTTCCTGATTATTCTCCTCGGGGGAAAGCACTAAGCCACTGTTCCAATCAAGATATCTAATGGCTGTAGAAGATGAACCAGCTTCCCTAGACTGAGAAGTTCTATGGATCACTGGGTTCGACCACTTTGTGCAAACAAGGAATGCAAAGCACTCGGCAATACTGCACAGATGACATTCATATTTATAATTTTTTAGGGTAAACCATACTGTGAAGTATTCAATGTACTCCACTTGTTCTAAGACTAGTCGGCACAATAATCCAACCAAAATTCAGATTTATTGCATACCCAAAATTGATGAACAAGTCCCACCAGCCAAGAGAACGTACATCGCCTGAAAAATATCTTCAAGTCATCAGAAAACACCACTATATGAGCAATAGGCTCAAATGCGTGCCAAGATTGCAGGGATACTATCCAAATAAAGCAACCAATCCTGATTTGGTAATCATAAGATGGTGACAAGAAAATGTAACGAAGAGATTGACATCCAGAGATCAGCCATAAAATAGCAGGCACACCTGCAGATCTGAAATCTACCCAATCACCCAAGCTTAGCAAAGCAACAGACTCTGAAGGTATATCTCATTGTCCATGTACACAACAATCACGAAATGATCCCAACAAATTCTCCTTCTTACAACCCAGACTCAGTCTCATCAACGGATTTAAGTAGGGTCAAAAGCCATACTGGAAGCAAAGGAAATATCAGAACACCGACAAACTTTAAGAAGTAAATGCTTTTCCGTTGGCCTTCAAGAATAGCAGAGAATATATAGACTGATAAAGTTGGGAGCTGCAATTACTAGGAACATATTTTTTCAATGGAGATGGCACTTGTGAAGCTGAGCTGTAATAATTTGAAATAGAAAATTACAAGTGAGAAATCCTGAACACTTCACTAAGCAGTCAGCTCCTATGCACTCTTACTCTCCATACAGGAGGGGCATTTATGTCATCCTAGATATATAAAAAAACTATATCAGCCAGTAGAGTATCTGTCGCAGAATTAAAATCAAATTTGGTAACACTTTATTGTATACGATCACAGTTTCAAATTTCCTTCTATCTACAACGAAATTCGAAAAGGTATACTGCTAATGGCAGGATAAATTATACTGACACAAAAAGTGCAAGTCAGATATTAAATCTCAAAGATCAGGATATGAAAGCATGAAAACCTGTAAACCTGAAATCTCATACATTCTACTTGACAAATAACATATGTAGGAAATGCTTACCAGATAGCTTGAGAACAGTGAAAACTGTAGCAGCAACGAAGAAAACCATAGAGATTGCAACCCAGAAATGCTACAAAATTCAGATATCAAATTAGGTTCAATTCCAAATATCCTTGATAGGATCATCTCCAATCTAGATCCACCTTTCATCAGGAAACAAGAACACTATAACAATAACCACTTTGCAACCACGGTATTTCAACTATACAATCCTAGTGAAATGAATTAAGTTTGTACTTAGTTGCAATGAAGACGAGCCTGTTTTGTTACCTACATATAATAGACAAAACAAAGACATGTTGATTGATTGAAACAGAGAGTGAAAGACAAGGAAAGAAAACCAATGTTGAAGGACAAAGCCAAGTTAAGCAGGAACGGTGAAAAATACCACAAGAACCCTAGTTTATATGCTTTTCATCCACAAAAGTGCACGTTACTAACTTTTATGGCTGCACATCGTTTCAGTCTTTCCTATAAAATAAATCTTCTTAATGCCTACCACGGTAATGCTAGTTCATGGCGAGCCAGGAAGTTTGAGCATCAGAAAAGCACAACTATGCAAATGACCCTATGTCCCTACCAAGTAACAAGCAATGGCATATTAAATGCACTTAAAATTTTCTCATCAGAATCATCTAACCTGTATAGAACAATGGGAACCACAAGCTATGTTAAAGAATAGTATGTCAGCACTTCCACTAACTTACAGGCAAAGTCTCCCAGATTGCTTCATCACTCATATTCTCTTCTTCTCCTGGCATCAGAGCGCGGCACATTCTATTAAGAAATAAAACCAATCACCATCTTGTCAGCCAGAAAGGTGATTGGCAAAGAAAACACACATTTTGTCTAGCACAAGAGAAGTAAAGAGCACTTGAGAAGGTTAATTGAAACTTATGTTGTAACAGCATCCACAAACATCTGGCAAATCCCCCATAAATGAAGCATCAGACTTGTCATTCATGATTCATTACATAACCTAAGCATATAAATTATACAAACACTTAACTGACCATATATTGATGGTTTGATAAAATTTTCTATCATGTTAACAATTGATAATCAGTTGGACAAAAGCATTAAGACACTACTAAAAACTGTTACATCCTCAGTTCTGTCATGTTACAGAAGGAAAACAGGTGGAAGTTTCCTGGAGGAGGCTGTTGAACATTTCTCACTGCATATACAACTTCCGTTTTAGGAAACTTAATTCAGTACCAACTCTCTCAGACTTAAATTATATTGTCAAATAAAAGGGGAACAATAATGATAATATGAGATATGACCTCCAATATCAGGATAGTTAATTTTACTTAGAAGTTAGAACACCAAACGCTGGTCAGCAAACAAGAATTAATTCAGAGGAAATAGCAACATCTAGCAATAGAACATAATGTGTCATATTCCACAGGCTAAATCAACTTCCTTTATTAACAAAATGAAGATGTACCTGAAATTGTCAACTAAGATAGTTACTTCAAACAGTAACAGTGGAAGGAATACAATCTTCAAGTCTACAGCTGCAATACCATGAACTGAAAACAAAGGAAAATTATACAAAGCGTAGCTAGGGAACTACATACTAAGAGCCTAAAACAGAATCACGGCCCAGGAAAGTGCCTTGAAGCGTAAAAAACTTAGACTAAATTGAGAACAGTTAACTATTTACCATTAGCACTCTCAAGATAAATGCAAAGGAGGAGCTCAAATGCTGTAAGCAAAGGTGTTGCAACAACTGCATGGCATGGAGCCCACTATCGAGAGAAAGAAAATCCCATGAACAGATATGCACATAAACAGAAACTCTGGTTAGCAAGAAAATATAAAATAAGATGCATTTTCCTCTAACAGCATCATTCTCAAATCTGACATTTAAAGGATACAACATACATGACGATTGTGTGGAAGGGATGGAGCAGGTAAGGAAAACCTCCCTCGGGAAACAACCCCGTGGAAGACCCACAGGGGGAAGAAAACCAGCCTGAAAATCAAGGCAGAAGTACAACAACTGAAGTCAGAATTTGACAGGTAAATAATATTATGCAAGATAGAAAGTTCACACACTTGAGCGGCATGAATTATCGAGAGTAAAATGGGACCAAGTTCTCTACAGCAGAAAGCTGTCACAACCCTTCATAAATTAAGGGCTGCCAAATACAGAAATCTAGCTGACATAAGATTCTATCCTTGAAATGAGGATTAACATCCTGTCATCGGCATTGCGCCCAAGGACCCCATCACCCAATTGATAGGAGGGAAGAAACCTGAACAGTACAGTGAGCCAATTGACCTTCAGAGAGAATTTTATTCTGTGTTATGAGAACTCTAAAGGTAATTGTCAACCCCCGAACCTTATATGTTAACGCCGCTACTCAGACTAATTAGAGAACAACATATAAAGGTCAATAAGAGGCTACCCAAAAGAGAACCCAGGAACTTCACGTTTGCTTTGGGTACCAATATCATGGGCTCCAATCATGTGATCCAGCGTAATTTGTTCAGACTAATACAGTCCATCAGAAATATTGTGATTATTTCTATAGAGCTAGAAGGATACAGTGCGAAAGGCTATAGAGAACCCACCGCTTTCTGTTTTGTTTAGGATGAATGACATTGGTTCAAATCCTGTGCACCCAACCGAATACTTATCCTATGTACTTACAGAACTTACAGTCCATTATAAATTATTGGGTTGAGGGGGAAAAACAGCATACTAAAAATTGAGAAAAGGGACAAACTTCCTAAGGTTTCACACTCTCAAAAATTGCAATAGCTAAGCTAATATAGGATAGCTGGCAAGAACATTAAGGAGGGTTGAGCTGAATAAAAAACTGTGATATTGTTTTCCATTAGTAATAGAATGAGCAACTGAAACCCTCAAGCAGAACAAATCAGTTTTACGCTTCCTAGCCTATTATAAATTATAACTGCAAGATCATGCCCAGCTGATTAACGAAAAAGAAAGAACCACCAAACCAAGAAAACAACTTTACTTGCACAACTATCCCATAAAATTGATCGGCCAAATCTTCGGCGCTTATTGTTTGCATTATTAAACCCAACAACAAACTACAATTCAGTTTATGAAGTTCTGATGCTGATTATGACTGACCAGTGGCAGTGGGCATAACACTCATTCCAACTGTTTGTTCCAAGAGTACCATCATCTACACAGGCAGTTCCTCATTTCAACTTGCAAATTATTCTTCCAAGAGACTCCATCTAGTTTACCTTCCCTGAATCGAACAACCCTTCTCGTTACAATATTAACTCCATCCAGCCAACATGAAATGGTACGGAAGAAGATGGATGCTTTTTATCACAATCCAATTGCCCCTTTGTGCACCCTTCCCGATATAACAAATCAGATCAAACAGGTTCAGATGCTAATTCAGCTAGTAGCTTAAATCCCAGAAAGTCAACCATCGGAATTTCACATGCACGGAATGAGGAAGTCATGAAAAGAAAAAACAGGAAGTCCCAAGCTTCGCTTGCGATAACAAATAGAAATCAGAAACTAGCATATCCTGCAAGACACATCCACAGGAAAGCCTTGAGCTAATTCAACACCAAACCCTTCCGAGGGCAACCAGCCAAGTCATTCATCACAAACAGCACAATTAACAATTAAAATAAGGAACAAAAAAAGGGAACCAAGCAAACTGACCACCAGGAGCAGCAGACGAGACGCTCAAGCTTAAGCACTAGCAAAAGGGTGAAGGCAAAGAGGAGGGCATGGGCAGCTAGGGCCTGTACGGACTTCAACACTCTTCTCCAACTCGTCATCTCTTCTTCTTCTTCTTCTTCTTCTTCAATTGGACTTTTTAGTGAATCATGACAAAATCAAAAGGCAAGCGCTTCTGTGTTCTGATCTGACCTTCAACCTCCAAGGCAAAACCTAGAGGCTAGAGCGGCGCAGTCGGTCACTCGAGCGCAGAAAGGGGAGCAGATTAAGGAAGCGTTACGTTACCCCCCTTTGTTCCTTCCGACAAGTAACAACACTGAGGTGACTATCTGCCGATGGGTCTGATGCTGGATTGTGAAGTTGAATCAAGAATCGGGAGAAGTGAAAAAAGGGGCAAAGAAGAAAGAACTGAAATGGAAGAGAGGGAACAGTAGCGTAGCGTGTGTCAATCTGCGGGCGCCATTGAAGATACCGCTCTCTCTTTCTCTCTCTTCTATTAGCCCACTCTCTCTCCACTCCAGCTACTAGTGCCCTTGGGCTTGGTTGGATGAATGCCTGTAGATAAACTAATACTCTACGGATTGATGCAATAATAAGTACAAAGAAAGAGCATTCTATTCCTTGTGTTGTGTCAGTTAATCAGGCAGGCTCTGTTTTATTATTTTAATTATTATTAAAAAAAATTAAATCATTCAAAAGTCTCTTCATGGTTGTTATGCTGGTGACATCCCGACCGAATGAACGAGACATAATCGATGTCGGTTATAAAACTGACTAAAATATTACTGATATTGTTGGCATGATCTGTTTTAGGCATTTTTTTTAAAAATGACAACGTTTTAGTTAATTTAATTAACAATTAACAAAATAATTAAATTTTATGATTTATTTCATAAATGTGAGAGTTAAATGTTGATGTTATTGTTGGATTGAAGTATAAAGTATAAACCTTTCGGTGCATATCCCTAAAGATGATGGTCAATTACATCACTATTGAGTGGTCACCATAGCTACGAGGGTAACTTGGTGCATTACCATTTATGGGCAGACCCAGACCTCTTTAGGGGTGTTTCGGGACACCCAGGGAAACTAACGATCCTTAGATACTAGCTTCGGGTTAGAACGGGGGATTGATAGTCCTTTAGGGGTGTCTCACTAAATTTTGGGTTCTCCTAGTAGTAGTTTGAATTTTATTTTATTTTTATTTTTTTGGGAGGGGGAGGAGTGATTGTTTTTGTGATTCAAACTCACAACACTATAATTATTAGAGAAAATATTTATCCACTGCACTGCAAACCAATTGTTGTTATGTTTAAAACATAAATACGATCATAATCTAAATTAAAATCCAATTAAAACCTAATTTCAACAATGTTTTTCATCCAAATCATGAAAATAAAATTTCAAACTCACCATCATTCTTATATTGACTAAGATTGCATCACTGTCAAGTTGAATTGTTTTACTCGGTTCTTGATATGCAACTGCAAGAGTTGAACTAGCACTTTGATATGGTGAATACTAGGTTGTTGACTTGTATGATTGTCTTAGTCCTGAGAATGAGTTTGTTGCTTTTGACAAAGAGAAGCTAATAAGTCTTGCTCAATTTTATCCTAATTGGTTTGGTCACCTTTCTAACTCACATATTCTAGGATATTTTGAGAATTAATATCAGTGTCAAGAATGATGAATTATTCCTTAGATTATAAGGAATTGATGAATTGACTAAGTTGATGGTGAAGACAAAAGTGAATCATTCATAGTCATAAGATTATTTGCTTCGCAAATGTGTATTGATTTTAGCAGTTGCAATTGCAAGTGTTTGAAAGTGATTTTTTTGCTTTGGGCTACACCAAAAACAAGTTTCAGAATCGAATAGGTGATTAGTCTGTTAATGATTTTTAGTGGGAGATACTGAAAGAGATTTGTTGAGCACTTTTTTTTTGTTGAATTTTTTTAGCACTTTAGACACTGAGTGTTTTGTACAATTTTTTCGAAATATGAAAACACGTAGTGGTATTTTATTGTAACTTGTAGTGGCCGAGTATTTTATAATTTATGAAATTAAATTTGTTAATAGTTTAGTTTAATGTTATAAGAGGACATCACTAAGTAAAATTTTTGGGTCCGTCACTGTGACTGATCACGATTTTCTAGATCTAAAGACCAAAATCGTATTTTCCTAGGATCTCTTCCAACCACTTACTTAGGTGATGAGAGACGAGTTCTATAGTTTGAAAATGCGGCTGTGGAGGTTGAGGTGCTTCTGGGGTTGAGGTTCCACTTGGTTTTACATTATCAAAAATTCAAAATTAAAATAGTGTAAAAAGGAGAACTAAGCTACTGGCGAGTGGAGGAAGAAGGAGGATTAGGTGTTGCACATGCAAGCTCCCCCTAGAGTTCTTTAAACTCATAACGTAAATCCTGGCAACATACGAGCTGCTTAATCCTCGTGATATCTATCTACTCCTACCTTGTGTCACGATATTTATCAGAACTAGTAGGCAACAAGGACCCTACGGATTTCTCCCTTAAGGTGTCACACATTATCGATTGAAGATCAATCGCATAGAATGGTTGTGTTTGGTCTTCATTCTTCACCCTATGCGATTAAGGTTTCGAGGCATACATCTCGAAGGGATGTATGCTTCGTAAATCTCTCAATTAATTCTTCATGAAACCCTATGGTTTTCAAAAAATTTAGTCTTGGTGTCTCATGACACGTCCAAAGTGGTCCACTAGGTTGCTATGCCGTGGAAACACACGAAACACTACCAAGAGTGCATCAAATTGATAAAAGCAAGCTAGTGCTACTAGAATACACTCTCGGCGATCATGTAGCCAATACGAGATATTAAGACGATTAATATATGAAAACCATGAAGTTCGAGTCGTAATATGAGAGTCTAAAAGAGTACTTCTTGCGTGTCATCGGTGACCATTGACCCAATTGTCACTTCAGGTATTAGACATCCCCAAATACTCTCTCTCTCTCGCTAGTTAGCTTATTTTTAGTTTGTTAGTTAAAAACAACACTAAACTATTGATTGGATAACAATTCAATTCTTCAAGTAGCGGTATGACTTTCCGTTCCCGAAAGAAACACAACTTCATAGTAGCATTATACTACGCCACCTAATCGAGTTATATTTAGTCTAAAAATCTTAGGTCACTAGGGTTAGGAAACGATGTGATCTTATCCAGACTAGAACATTAGGAATAGCAACGGGGAAGGTCCGGGGCGGGTATCTCGATACCCATACCCGCCCCGTGGCAGGTCGGGTCGGGTAATTTATCATGGGGCGCGGGCCGGGGCAGGTTGACCCAATGGGTATATAATTTATGCAAAAAAAAACATTAGAAGTATTCGTTATTTAATTAAAAGACCAAGAAAGAAACCATAATCTGATAAACTGTAGTTAAATTATTGGAGAAATTGAGTTTTTCACTTATTTACAACTTTATTATACCTAGAATATGATGTAATAAGAGGAAAATCCTAAGTAATTTGATTAAGATTACATGTAATTTAGTCAAGAACGGGTCGAGAATGGGGCGGGTCAGGACAGGTCGTGTCGATGAGAGGTACCCATTCCCGCCCCAAAACAGGCCAAACAGGTCGGTAAATCGGGTCAGGTCGAATTTGACATCCCTAAGAACATATATACAATTTATGGTCCAGACCGAGAGGCTCGATTATAGACCCGACCTCGTATTATACAATACAAATCATACCACGCCTATACGATCAGGTCCAGATAGACCGGATTGAACAAAAAATGAACAATCCGTTTAGTTAACTACAAAAAATGTTGAAGCAATAACCGCAAAAAAATATTTTTTTGGCCTTAAAACATAAATTCCAACATGCATGAATAACTTTGACACCCTAACTGAGTAAATAACAAGTATACAAAGTCAAAGCATCCTAACTTGCATCATAACATCGTAAACATTACCATAATGTCATATGGAGACACGATTTTATTAACTCTCTAGTAACATGTGGTTTTGTGAATGAAGGAGCAGACGATATTCTCAAAATTAGGGTCGAGACTTGTGTCTCATTAGGAGGACTTGAGAGAGTGGTCGAGTGGCCTGCTAACACATATTGGAAAGTCAGTTAGGTCCACAATTTGGTCCGATAAACTACAATCTAGACCAGACCAAAAAATCAAAACATCATATAATACAAACCAATTGACTAAATCATACCATTCTTAACCGTCTACCATCCGATTTAGTTCATAGTTATTCAAACAGTCTAGTGTACTATTTTTTCCAGCGCTATCAGTCACAAATAATGATGCACAAACGCACTAGCGTGGATTTGACTTATCCCACAGAACTATGCAACAACTTGTGTCATTTTACGCCCCACTAATCACTATCCCACTCGTCTCTGTCCCCTGCGACACATTTCAAGCCAACTTTCCGCCAATGTTCCAAGGCGAGAGAAATGTAATTGGCTTCGCCTTATTCTCCTCTCCGCCCAAAAAAGGCAAAAACAGTGTGGCAGCAGCAGAACTACAAGAAACACATTTTCGAACCACCACGTCTGTCCCCTGCGACACATATTTTACATGCTTACTCAGCCCACATTCGTCAGATCGGATAGATCATGATGAATATTTGTATTGGAAAACGTTGTTAGAGAAAATAAACAACAACACTCTTGTTAAAATCGGATCGGAAAATCGACAACGCAAAGGCGTAAAGAACACATAGATTTACGTGGTTCATTAACCGAATGTGTGTTAGCTGATTCACGAGCAGGGGAGAGCTAGTTTCATTATATATTTGACAGACACAAATTACAGATGGATTGAGAAGTATATATGGTACTTCTCCAGACGGCCTAACCCTAATCCAATATGATAAAAAAATAAGGTTAACACAAAACAAAAACTCAAACATGTGTAAGCCCATACACCATAACTTCTAATCGATAATAGATAATTTGATCGTAGCCATATCAACGACTCTATTTAGCTTCCATAATTTATACGTGTGTGATAGTCTGAGCTGTATATTTATATCGGGAAGGTGAAAGTCAAAAGAATTACCAGATGACAAAATGAGGAAAGGATAATGCCATTTCGAGACCGATTAAGCTTTAAGGAATAGTTTGAAGGCTCATGCATATCATTGGAATATAGGAGGCTATGTTTCAAGATATGAACGCATAATGCGTTCATGAGATTTATGTATCTTCGCTAATCATAATACATAGTTGCTACTATAACTATAATTCGATCGCACAATATATCATTTATATTTTTATTTATTTTCTGGTATATGGAGTTATATATGGATACAATCGGGTGGCAACGGTGATAATCAGCATTGTAAATGAATGATTAATAAAATACTTATCTTTAATCTGTAACGTAGCCATAGATTACAATATAAAATACACTGACAATGACTTTTTCGATACAGTCTTCGATACGTTTTTTACAATCATTGCTAACTAGAAACTTCTTGTTCTAATCCAATTAAGCATTACTAATTCGAGCTTTCCAATCTCTGATGATGGGACTCATTGCCATGGCCGTTGATGATTCTTGCATGCTCTTACCGGAGAAGGCCAAACAGTAATTCCGACCAAGATCATAAACCCAATTACGTTAACAAAGAAGGTGACGGGATGCTGGTGGATTTGGAGCCCAAGATTATTGTATTACGTTTATGGCCGGAGACTGCAACCCGACGTACTTAGCCAAGCCGGATTCCCGCGACGGCGACGGCGTCATCGACGGTGATCTTATTCATCCGGTTTAATTAAGAAACCAGCAGTAATTGTGTCATTACTAAATACTTGATAGTTGTTATAGTTAGGAAGTTTTGTCTCATTTTCTCTTTTCATTCGGCTTTATTAATTTTTACCTTCTACAAATCCAGGTTATGGTTAGAGATTTTGAAGAAGCGTATGAAAACAGTTCAGCACTTCGTTGACAAATTAACTATTAATATTTTTATATTACTATAAGGCTTGGGTTTTCTACCCTATCCGCTCGCTTATTATAATTCATCTCGACCAGACCGCACCGCGGTTGACACCTTGTCGCCATGCCAGCTTGATACCCTGCTAGATCACCACCAAACCTGTATTGTCGGCTTGATCTCCATAGTTAGTTTTTTTGTTTTGTTTCATGTTGTCAAATTGATCTCTTAGGCCACTCAGATCAGTGAGAGGTAGTCTGGCCACTTGGACCCAAAACATTTTGGGTAGTATTTTTTGTATTTTCATGCCAAAATACCCTAGTGGTACAGGAGTTGGAGATATCAAGATTCAACTACTGGAAGTTAGAAGTGAAGCTGTAACCCTAGACAAAAAATGGTGACCTAGATTGTCGACCAAAATTCTGAATGGTGACAAAGGCGCCATATTTTTTTTTTTTTTGACAAAGGATTTACTTGTATTGCTCTTTGAGAGAAAAGTTACAAGGGAAGCCAAACAAAGAAGCCCAGAAAAGATCAAGGCAAGCCAAACAAAAGCACACGGTTGTACAATCTGTGTTAAAGGAATACAAAAAGAGAAGAATAGAACACCGAAAATATCAACCCAAAACATCAACAACACTTGAATCAGATCCAGAAGACACCGAAAGCTCCCTTGCAAACAAACCAATCAAAGAGCACCAAGCATAATCAGCTCGTCCGATCCGACCGAGTCCATGACAATTGAATACAACGCCAAATGCCGCCTCCTGGGAGTCGCTCGAAGACGCTCAACACAGTGAATCTCTTGTGAGGGATTACATGGCGGTGGAAAGGGTAGAGGATCGAAATGCTCCGAGCTGAAAAAGCAGAGGAAGACGAGGCACCAAGAACTTGGTCAAGGGAGAAGAGGAACCCAAACTCCAAAATCCAAGGTCTGAAACCGCAGTCAGAAGGGCCAGACATCGCCTTCCTTCCACCGACGCCGACCAAGAGGCAGATGACTACCAACAGGGGGAACGGAGGGGAAAACAATGAATCGATTCACCATGCATGTTGTTGAACCCACCATCTAAAGAGGAGACCTCTAGATGCATAACCCAACTCCAAGGAGAGCAAATCCAGAAAGAAACCCTAGAACAGGGCAACGAAAGGCCATAAAGGCAGGAGAAGCTAAAAAGCTGGAAAATCCGATTGAAAAAGGCCAAACCAGTGGCAAGGAAGCATAAAAAGCAAGGAAGATGAAAGAAAAATGGGCTACCGCCGGTCACCAAGAGGTGCCGGCGGCAACCCCTGCAAAAATCCAAGCAGAGGGGCTGGAGGAGAAGAGAGAAGACAGAGGAAAATTTTGAAAAAAAAAGGAAGAGAGAGAGAGAGAGTTGTGCAAGGCGCCATATTTTAGAAGGTGCAGATCAGCTTGATTTCACTCGAATATTCTTTCCTTGGAGGTTCAACTGAAAATATTCTGAAGATATGCAAGCAAAAGAATTTCCACCCTACAGTATAGGTGATTACTTCGGTGCACTCACTTTTTTGGGTGCATTCAATACACCCAACTCTAAAAGTGATCATAATACATCGAATTTTAAACTTTAATTGGTAGTATTAGTCTAATATGATGATATAAGTAGGGATGGCAATATTACTCATACCCATGGGTATTTTACTATCCAACCCAATTGGGTTGGGTATGGAATCCAAATAGATGTTAGATGGGTAGAGTTTGATGGGTTTGTAGTTTGTACCCATACCCATTTACTTGGGTTGGGTTGGGTTTTTAACATATGGATTTGGGTTTGTACCCATACCCAAATGCAAATTACAATTTGGTACCTAAACTTAATAGTTATGCATATTTCGTACCTAAATTAATTTTTTTTGCATATAAGTCCTCAAAATATCGATGAAAAATTACATTTTAGTACCTAAAATTTTTGGTCTCACATTTTGGTGCCTAAACTTTTCAAGTTTTACAAATAGGTCCAATTTTTGTAGGTGTAGTTAAAACACCCTCAACTAAATGGATATCCATATCCAACCCATACCCATTTAGATAATATATGTATCTAACCCAAACTCATATACACATTACCAAACCCTACCCATAATAAATGGATCTACTTGGGTTTGGGCAAAATTACCCATGGGTGGGTAAATTGCCATCCCTAGATATAACATAGAATCACAACTAATTAATCCATTACCCTAACCCCTTAACTTTCAATTTTGAATCCCAACCTAAACCCTCAAATTGTAAACCTAAACCCTAACCCTAAATCCATAAACTCTAAATCACTCAAATTAAAGTAAATCTTTAATAATTTTTTTACAAATTCATGTGCTTCTTGTTCATCATACCACAAGTGATGGTTGACATTGTTTTCACATGAATCGCTTGCTCAGAATGACGATTACGAAGCGAGTGCACTGAATGCACCCAAAAAACTGGGTGCACCGAAGACGCTATCATATATATATATACCCAATTTCAGAAAAGCTAGGTATATCGTGTTCTAGAATGATGTACTCCCTGAATTTGTCCCCATGAGTGGTTAGTTAGTTAGTTTGTTGTATAGATTGGAAAATCCTAGAGGTTTCTTAGATCATTCAATAGTGTGTTATATATATAGGGGTCATGCTGTAAGACTCCGGAGTATACGATACTCTGGGTACTTTTAGTGAGATATCTCTATCGATTTAGACCATAAATTAACCGATTTTAGGATATGATACTATACCGATATACCCTAACCTCTATGTATTCAATTTTCTGAGCGTTTACTGCATCTCGAGTGCTACCGCCCAATCGTATTTGCCTATAGTGGTGCACCCAAATCGCTGAGCTGGGTGGCGATGCAACTTTGGTTGCTTGTAAACTATACTATTTTGAAGATTTTTTTTTTTTTTATAGTAGTAAGGTTGGGAAAAATCCCTTTTGTTTTCTTCTCTAATAGGGAAAGAACTATCCCTCATTACTTCCTTCAGAATGACGATGTAAAAATTTCGATGTGGTGAAACTTTTTACGTCGTCATTTTGGCCATGACTGAGTAACACAAACAAAATCGAGAAACTCTTTTTCCAGATTCAGAGAATACCATGGATAGATGCAAATTGCGGCATACCCAGTAGTCTACTCGTCGTCCTTCACGGCTTCCGTTCCTTTTCCAGTACCAATTTGATTACTGCGCGAGTGGTGGTTCCAATTTAATTCGTCTGTATCTCCATCAACGTCCGATTACTCTGCTTCGACACTCCGTTTCTCTCCAGCTTCGTGTAACCTCTGCCCGTCAGTTTGTAGCAATCTGGCATATACCGGCAGCGATCCCGCAGAAGATCCCCATTTCTCTCTTCTTCCCCGCTGTTCTTTGGGAAGTCCTGCTTGCTCTTTTCGCCCTAATTGAGTGCCCAATTGATGGCCGATCTTGTTCTGTTATGTGCTTGAATTGCGACTGCTTTCCCGTTTCCAAGGTTAGTTTCTTTGAACGGATGATTTAGATCTTGATTGGAACCCTGCCGTCTTTTAGATTGGTCCCCGGGAACATAGCTGGGAAATGGATGGAAAGCAAGACTTTTTGAATTCTTTTCAATGCTAAGCAGTCATCCTTGCTGTAGCTTTCTAGATATATGATTTAGGTGAATTTGGTTTACGCCTGATTACATATTTCTTGGCTGTTTTAGGGGTTTGGTGTCACTTCTGTAGTTCTGTTGCATTTATATTAGTTTCTTGGTGGCAGCAAACACTTCTTGTATACCAGGAACACCAGCAGAACTGTGATGGAAGATGGGGAATGTTTGCGAAATTGAGGGATGAAGATAGAGCATTGGATTTCCAGACATGAATCGATCTCCATCCTTTTCAGTTAAGTCAGAATCCAGCGTAAAGGTTGACCCAGAATCTCTGCAGCAATGGGCTGTTGCATTTTGTGTGATTAGGTTTGATCTGGAACAAGGTCAGCTGATTGAAGAGTGTTATCCATCTGGTCATCTCTCAAGTGAGGAAGAACTTGATGTTGCTTTCAGTTCCTTTCCGGATTCTGTTTCTCAGCACCAGAACCGTTCAAGCATTCATGATTGCATGTTCTTCTTCCGTGTCCAGAGGCGGCAAGGCTCTGCACCAAGTAATGTCAAGTCATCTGGTTTCCAAGAACACAATGGCAAAAGTCCACCTTCAGAGCTACCACATGAATTGGTGAAATCCAAACTTAGCAATAACGCTAGGGGTAATAAATACCTGTATGGCTACGTGTTCAACCGACAGAGACATGATGAAAGGTTAAAGCGAGGAGGAGAACAGAAATCTGTGGTTATATTATCTCACAGGCCCTATTCCTCTGTGTTCAGACCTTTGCTACAGATAATGGGTCCATTATATTTTGACATAGGAAAGAAGGCCCTTGAGCATATTGCTAGTTATGTGTCAATGTGGCCTGCTCCTCTACCTGGTAAGCTAATGGAGCTTCCTATTGGCAATGCGATGCTTAAAGTTAACTTGCCCCCTGCCCATAGCTTACCTTTGGACAATGGAAAGCATGAGGAATCTTCTTCATCAATGGCTCCTCTGCTTCCAACTAATCAATCGATCCCACAAGGGCTTTTCCATGATTCTGATATATTTGGTATTTTCCGCGGGATTCTATTGCAACTGTGGGTCTTGTGGGAGTTGTTGTTGATTGGTGAACCTATTCTTGTCATAGGACCTACGCCGCCTCAATGCAGCGAAGCAGTTGCAAGCCTTGTTAGTTTGGTTGCACCATTGTTGTTCAGTGTTGATTTTAGGCCTTACTTCACCATTCATGATCCAGGATTCGCTCGACTGAATTCCCTTCAGGAGGGTGACACTTTTCCTCCAATGATATTGGGAGTGACAAACCTTTTCTTCCTCAAATCTCTTCGCAATATTCGTCATATTGTGTCAGTTGGAACCCCTGCAGGGATTTCTAGTCGTCAACCCATTTCAAATAGGTTCTCTTCCGGTGGGGTTCCTGCAAGACCAGAAGGATCTGGTCTTCAGCAGATATCTTTTAAAAAGTTTTCGCCTTCAAGTTTCTTGAGTGCTGTTAAGTTAAGGAGAGAAGGCCCTCTTTCCCTCATGACAGAACATAAGGAAGCCGTTTGGACAAGTTATACGGCAGTAACCAAGCCAGATACTTCGATCCTAAATAGGCTCATTGATGCTGGGATGTCACCAAGGGTTGAGGAGTCCATGTCAGTTGTCAACAATGAGATATTACGAAGGCATTTCTTGGAGCTCACCACTAACTTCTTGGCCCCTTTCGGCCCATATTTGAGAGCTACAACGCCATCTGAAGGATCTTCCCCATTTGTTGATCCTCCTCCTCTCCCTCAATTTAACGTTGATGAATTTTTGGCAAGCTTATCAGCACGAGGTGCAGGGAAGTTTCTTTCAAAAAGAATGCGATCTAATTGGCTCGATTTATACAGGTAACAGCATTGAATTGCTATTATACCTCTTTACCATCCCTTTTAATTGTAGACCTCTTTTAATTCTGAGTTTAGTTTAACTTAGTTTTACTCTGTTTTAGAAGAATGCTTGCTTAGAGTTTACATAGTTTGCATTGTTCTTCAGGCGGTTCCTGAAAGGGCCAAACTTTATGCCATGGTTTGAGAGAAGGCGAGCTGTTGCCGAACAAGAGCAGCATAGATTATGGAGGGAAGCAAGAATGACCACAGATATAACACTGTTCATATCAAAGATGTCTGAACTGGAAATTGTTGATTCTTTCAATGCCGTTGAGAGGCACCTTCAGTGGGAACTTCAGGTAATGCCACACATTTATTTTCTTTAAATTGGGAGGTGACCAATACTTGTTTACTTTTCTTATCTATCCTTCCTGCTACCTACAATGAGTTGTGAACATTTTCCTTTGTTTTAAGTAGCACCCGACCACAAAAAGTAAACCTATATCACCCTTATTATATATAAAATAACTGTCAACGTTATATTTGCTTGTTTGAAACCTGGGGATATTTAAGCAGCCATGATAAGACTGAATTAATCCATTGGTAGAATGCTGAGGCAAGTGCTTATCATTTTTTGTTATTAATGATCGCTGATGGGTGTCTATAGAATCCTAATTACCAGTTGTTGTCTTTGTAGTGATTGGCCGCACCTGCACTTACAATGCATATAAATTTCAAACTTGAGCTAGTAAACATGTGATTGATTCCTTATTTAAGCTAGTCTACTAAAAATGAACTCATCCTTCTTATTCTTTGTAGCTTTTGAAAGAACCTTTACAGCCTTTCAGTAGATGCTTCAGTTGATAGGGGATATTGGTCGCTGGTCACTACTGTTTGCAATGTTTTTCCTTATGATATTAGCTTCTTCAATCTTCAGACATGCCTTATTTATGGGATCTTGTCCAGTTCAAGACAAGATCTCTACATGCATTATTTCTGTGGAGATTGCAATCTCAGTAGATTGCTACGGCGGATTAGCTATATAAGTTTTGATGTTCTGCTTCAGTTCAAACTGAACAACGCAACTCTTTTTTCGTCATTATCGTTTTGGACTTTCTGTTTCCAGAGGAAAGTTTCTTGATTGTTTAGCATTGCTTTTGAATTTAAATGTATCTTTTGAGACCCGAACAAGAGCACTGCAAGGCTGGGGCAGCAAGCAAAGAATGCGAGTCCAGGTAGTTTATGTGCATCAGTACTTTGTTAAGTCGAAGATAACCTTTCGTTTAGATTTGGTACCAAAACTTTGTATGTCAGGGTTCCATCTCTCCCTTAGATTCTTGAAAATACAACCTCTTTGATGGACTCCGGCAATTCTCAAAACATTGGGCCAAAAAGGCGATTTTGGATTTTCGCCAAGTTCTTACCTAATTGCAATCCTTTTGGACAAAATTCCCCCATTTGCTGTGGCTGGATTGTGGCGGTGCCTTTTTACCGAATTTGCTTTCCTGTCCACACATTTCATGTTCAATCGTGTGCCATTGACTCTGAAGTATATACAAATGGAGCTGTGTGTTTCTTATTAGCTTAGTTGGACAATTTCCAAGTGGTCCTGTTAATGGTGATGGATGGATGGTATCTCCAGGTGTCAAAGTTGGGAAAGGTTAGTGACCCTGCTGCAAATACTTTCGAAAAGCTGACGAAAGATCTGCAGGCAGTGTTCAATGTTCTTCCCAAGGATATGCAACAGCTTCTGCTCATGAACCCGGAAAGAGCTGCTCTCCTGCGAGGAAATGTAGAAGATACAATGCCCCTTTGATAAGCCAGCTTCTGGTTCCCCTACATGACAGGTTAGAAAAGTTAAACCACACCTGGTTACAACTCTTCTTTACACTGCTGAATGGTTGAATGGCTTGTAACCCAAGCATTTCTGGTGTTCTCCACTGGTTGCGGTGTTCTTTCTCGAGCTTGTCATTTGTTCATGGTGAGATGAGCACCACCATCATTGTATTATGCAGTCTTACCATACCTCCTGGGATCTGGTATGCTGAAACCATTTCCCATTTCGCTTCAGAGATGTGAGGTTAATGTCTCCCGTAGCAGACTAGCAGTGATGGAGCTTACTTGTTGCCCTCTTCTGCAATTCCAATGACTTAAATCTTGTTCAGACTCAGAGGACATGGATGCTTGCATTTGTATGAAACTAAATACAAGGGGGTTGACTCATTGTAATTGTTTTGAAGAAACTGTATCGAGTATGAGGCTGCATTCTGCATTAGTACTCGGGGCTGATTTCTCTTTCCTTGTACATTGTCGAGGCATCATCGTCGTTGTGTAACCTTGTGCTGGTATGGATTTTGATGAGGTTTTGAAGAGCTATGTTTTCAGATGTTAGATTGCTTCATTCTATACCTGAATGCCTTGTAGGAAGCTGGATGTAGGGTGCTCTGTTTCTGGTAGAGATGAATACTCGAGAATGGATATGGTAAACGATTTGTGAATTATGATTTTGGATTTTTACTTGAGTAGGGGGTTGGATTCCTTTTCGACTTTTCGTGGCCTCCTTAATATTCTGTCATTTCCATGATGGGTTAGGAAGCAGTAGTAAAGCATGCTGCAGATCAAAGATATCACTGGTTGGCCCTAATTTTAGATTAGGATGGAGAGAGTAGTTGTTCATGCCCTTGTGTATCTGAGTTGCTACCAAACTTTGAAGTTAGGATATCCAATGACCCGACCCCAGCTTGAGGGTCGAACTGGGTTAATTTGTTTACAGAGTCGGTTTAGGGCCGATAGGATATGACCCATAGCAACAACTAGTGATATGAAATTACTCATTAACACATCGGATCTGTTTATAAAGTTTATAAGTTTAGGTGAATAAGAGCTTGGTCCAGTTGGTCTTAAAAATTGAAAGTTTCTGGTTCGAATCCCTTAGTGACACCTAACTAAAAAGCAACATATATCACCATTGTAAAACCAAAAAATTTAAAAGTTTAGGCACTATAATGTAAGGTAAAAAAAAATAATAAGGTACTAAAATGTAAATTCACCACAAAATTTCAGAATATGTTTGCAAAAAGAAAGCTCAAGTACTAAATTGAAAGAAAAATAAATTGAAGTGTAAAAAATGTAATTTAAAAAAAAAAACAGCTTGTTGATTGATTCGGGACGACCCACTAACTCAACTCGGCCTATCCAACCCGATTCTAGAGCGTCAAACAGGGTCAAGAAGCAAACCGAGAGACGAAGTAGCCCAATTTTATAAATTTGTCCTATAGAAACAGCTCAGACAAGACTCTTACAGGATCAGAAGCGGGTCTAAGTCTAACCCAGTTAATTGCTGCCACCGACAGGCATTTCCAAGTGAATGAGTTTCGTGTAAGGCACCTTGGAGCTTCACAAACAGAGTTGCTTTTAAGTTTGGGACACCCATAAATTCCAAACTCGTTGCCAAGATATACAAAGATGTAAAGAAGATCCCTGGTGATGGCAGTAACTCCGCCATCGAACAGGACGAATTCCTTCCCGCCGCATCATAAACTACTTTGTAAACCCAAAGAATTCCATAGTTAGGCTTTCACACGTAACTGGGTATAACAGAGTTCTCTGCCTCTGCTCTGCTATCTGTATTGTCTCCGCGCCATGTCGTTACACCATTGATTAGTTGTTTCGTGTTATACCATCTGTTGTTTTCTTTACTGCTTAAAACTTGTGCAGAACTTCATATTGATGTCTGCACCAGACCCAAAAGGCCAAATAGCAGAGAGCTTGAGCTACAGGGGACTTTCTGTCAGAGGTGAATCATTTTCCCTTCAATGTTTATGTCACAATCCACATTCCTTCTTCTTCTTCTTCGTTGTGATTCTGAATAGAGCTAAATCCTGCGTTTTGTGACACACATACATAGGAATTTCCTTTTCAAAGATGGCCAAAACTCTGCAGAAGAGCTACTTCGATGTGCTGGGGATATGCTGTTCTTCCGAGGTTCCGATGATCGAAAACATCCTCAAACCCCTCGCCGGCGTTACGGAGGTTTCGGTCATCGTCCCGACCAGGACCGTCATTGTCGTCCACGACGCTCAAGTCGTTTCCGACCTCGATATTGGTAAAAAAAAAAAAAAAACTAGCTGATTCGAGTTATTGAGACCAACTGGTTCCTGATAATACTGACGCGCGCGCGACAATGTATATGCATCCGAACCCGATTTGTTTTGACATTTTTGTTGTGGTGTGGTGTGTGGGCAGTGAAGGCGCTGAACCGGGCGAGGCTGCAGGCGAATGTTCGAGTGGACGGAAAAGGGAGGTCGGAGAAGCACTGGCCGAGTCCGTACGCCGTGGGGAGTGGGATTTTGCTGCTGCTGTCGTTTGTTCAGTTTGCTTATCGGCCGTTTCGATGGGTGGCGCTGGGAGCCGTCGCCGTCGGGATTGTGCCGGTGATGTTGAAGTGTGTGGTTTCGGTCAGGAGTCTGAGGATCGACACCAATATCCTCGTCCTCATTGCAGGTAATTATGTGGAGTTTTTCTTTATCTAGGTTGGGTGGATGTTTGTGGGTTTCGTAATTCGGGGTGAATCTAGCGATATCGGCATAACTTTAGTAAGAAAACGATATTGAATTAATTGGGTTTTAGGACATCGAAGTAATTAATCGGGTGACGGAACATAAAAAAAAATGTTAGCATTTTGGTTTCAGACATTCTTTCAAGTTCTTTTTGTAAAGAAAAGTTCTATTGTCTGTAGAGGAAACAAAACATGCAAAGCTAATTTATTCACGTATGTTTTTGTGCTTATTCTCGTCATTGGGTGTTTATTCACGTAATGTTATGTTTAATCCACGTAAGAATGCAAGTTATTTCACGTAAATGAAGATTCAGACCTTTTTTTTTTTACCTCTAATAATTTGTATTGGTTATTTTACGGAATTATATTTGGATTCTCAATCAATCTGTAAAAATGTGTTGCATTGATCATAATCTACACAATGACATCTATTTCGATGCATTTCAAAATTTGAAATTGCATTTTACAATGCCGTGAATAATCAACGTTCTTACATGAATAATGCCAATATAACATGAATAAGTTCAAATTTAAGTCAAATTTAATCCCTCTTCTTACCCGTTATAATAAAAGAATTAAGAACTAATTAAAATAGCGAAGGGATCAAGGGCCGGTTTCTAAGACAATTGACGTACATTTCTGGCAACTGCAACAGTTCTTTAATTATTCTGTTGATTGTCCTTAAGAAGATATGTTTATCACGCAGAGTTTGAGCCTAAAGTTCTAAAAGGGACAAAAATATAGTATGAATAAACAATGATTGTGGAATCGTACTGAAAGTTATATCGAAAAAAATTTAACACGGATGTATCTCTTCATTGACTCATTATTCATTATTGTTTTATTTTTGGCACAGATACTAATTGTTGTCCTAAATGATTTGTGGTTTGATTTATTTACAGTGGCTGGAACTGTTGGTATGGGTGATTATATAGAAGCTGGAACCATCGTGTTCCTTTTCACCATCGCGGAATGGCTGGAATCAAGGGCCAGCCACAAGGTTTATATCTATCTAGCTCAAAATAATATATAGTATAAACACGTTCAATTACATCATTTACATGCATAATCAGATGATGTTTTTTTTCTTTCCATTTTTAGTGGGACCAGATTAAAAGATTTTTTTATTTATTTTCTGTACTATTATAAATCGTCTTTTATTTTCTTTGTCTTCATTTAGATTTAAAATATTTTGTACGGATGGGACGAGTTTATTATGATCTACAAAATTATATTCATTTTCTTATAGAATTTTTTTTACCACCCAATGTCACTTGTTAGTTGTTACCACCATAATACTAGTGTACCACTAATATATTTTTAGTATCGTCTATACAACCATTCTACTCTACGGTATGATATATTAATACCATCATGATACATTTGCATACCAGTCCACTATGACACAGTTTGGTAATATATACTTTTTTTTTTTGTTCCAAATGTATTAAAGTGAAAATCATTTTGAAAAGCCCAATTAATCAATTTTTTCTATGCAAAAAAAAAAGCCCGTTAAACTTAATTATGAGAAAAATTATGGATAATTATTAACCAGGTGATTAGTAACCAACCTGGTTACTGACTCAATCCGCTACCTTATAAGTACAACTAGATTTTGGCACAATTTGGTTACTGATGGGATTCGCTCGCCCTAAAGTAAAACTAGATTTTGACACCCGCGGTAAATTTTAAATCCTAACGAAATTAATTGGCCGACAAATATTCGTGTACAGGCGAAAGCAGCGATGTCAGTCCTCATGAGCATGGCTCCTCAGAAGGCCGTCTTAGCCGAAACAGGGGAAGAGGTTGAAGTAGACAAAGTAGAACTGAACACAATTCTGGCAGTCAAGGCTGGAGAAACCATACCCATCGACGGAATTGTCGTGAACGGACAATGCGAGGTGGATGAAAAGACTCTAACCGGCGAGTCATTTCCAGTTTCCAAGCAAACCGATTCAACCGTCTGGGCAGGCACCATTAATCTAAATGGTATGAATCAAAAGTTTTCTTCGATTCTTCAATCTCTATTCAATATTTTAGAAAGTAGGTTGGTCAGAATTTGAACTCATTTCATTGGATAGTATCTGACCTAATCCGAGCTGGAGCAAGTAATACTCGACTTGTAGTCTTGTAATAGAGTGAGGCGAAATATGAGTAGTGAGTACTACTTTCAACTTGTCCTGTCTCGTCCCACTCCGTTTTTCACCCGGCCCACCTTGATTTGTCTCAATTTTTTCACTCATGTTTTGACTTCCAAACACTACTAGGGCACATCTGCATCAAGACCACATCGAAAGCTGAAGATTGTGTGGTGGCCAAAATGGCGAAACTCGTCGAAGCAGCTCAAAACAGCAAGTCCCAAACCCAGAGGTTTATAGACAGATGTGCCCAATACTACACCCCTGGTATCAATCTAACTCCTATACCATATGTTGTAGTCAAAATCGTGCTTAAAAATTTACACTTTTACGTTTCTAGATCACCAACACGCTTCTACATATAACCGTGCTTTTGAGTGCATTACCTTCCACTGCCTTTTCAACTCCACGTTCTTTCTCTTTTGCAGCGGTTATAATCATATCAGCAGCCATTGCACTGTTACCACTAGCATTTCAAGTCCATGACAAGAGCCGTTGGTTTCGGCTAGCACTGGTGGTTCTGGTGAGCGCATGTCCCTGCGCCCTGATCCTCTCGACTCCCGTCGCCACCTACTGTGCCCTTACGAGGGCAGCCACCGCCGGAGTGCTAATCAAAGGCGGCGATCACCTGGAAACGCTTGCCAAGATCAAGATCATGGCCTTCGACAAGACCGGCACCATCACCACGGGCGAGTTCACTGTGTCCGACTTCCACTGTCTGCAGCAGCACGACGTGAATCCGAGAGAGCTTGCCTACTGGGTGTCGAGCATCGAGAGCAAGTCCAGCCACCCGATGGCGGTGGCACTGGTCGAATACAGCAGGTCGATTGGTATCGAGCCGAGCCCTGACAATGTAGTGGATTTTCAGAACTTCCCTGGGGAAGGAATCCATGGGAAGATCGACGGCAGGGCGATTTACATTGGGAACAAGAGGATTGCTGCAAGAGCTGGCTGTAAAACAGGTAATGCACGTAACCTGAAGGGTTATTGGCTGACCAATTTGCTTGATCATATAACCTGACGACAGTAGCTCTTGAATACAATTTGCAGTTCCTGCAGTGGAAGAGGACTCCAACACCGGGAAGACTATTGGATATGTATATGCTGGATCAACCCTCGTCGGAAAATTCAGCCTTTCTGATACCTGCAGGACTGGCGCGGCTGAGGCGCTCAAGGATCTAAGCTCAATGGGGATCAAATCTGCCATGCTAACCGGAGATCGTCAGGCTGCAGCGTGGCATGTAGAAAAACAGGTCAATTCTCTTCCTTTCTTCACATCGATCGCGTTCAATTAGTAAGGTAGAATAGCAGAACTCACCTGCTTCATTACGCCGATGATGTACAGCTAGGAAATGCATTCCATGCTGTGAGGGCAGAGCTGCTGCCGGAGGACAAGGCGACCATCATCAAGGAATTCAAAGCCGAAGGGCCAACAGCGATGATTGGGGACGGTCTGAATGATGCCCCTGCACTGGCTACCGCGGATGTTGGAATCTCCATGGGGATATCGGGATCTGCTCTTGCCACAGAGACGGGACACGTGATCCTGATGTCCAACGACATCCGTAAAGTTCCTGAAGCCATTCGGCTTGCCAGAAAATGTTACCGCAAAGTCATCGAGAACACCGTGATGTCGATGTCTACCAAGGCAGCTGTGCTCGTCTTTGCGGTTGCCATGCACCCGCTCGTTTGGCTTGCTGTATTGGCTGACGTGGGCACCTGCTTGTTGGTGATCTTGAACAGCATGTTACTCCTGCATGGCGCCACTTCCCAACAAAAAAGTGGTAAGTGCTGTGATGGTCACAACCACAGCCATGACCATCAGGACTCGAAGTCTCATGGTCAATGTCATGGCCACGACCATGGAGCTCATCACTGCCATGGGCACAATCATCCTCCATCCCACAGTCACAGTCACAGTCACGGGCATTCAGCTTGCAGCCATAGTCATGGCCACGACCATGGTCATTCTTCACCTAATCATAACCACGACGGAGCCCACAATCACAACCATGCTCATTCTTATCATGCCCACAGCCACGATCATTCATGTCAGAGCCACGACCACAGTGGTCACAGCCACGGCCCAAATGGTGCAGGTCATAAGCATAGTCACCAAAGCCATGGGCACAACCACACTCATTCTCACGCCCATGGTGGACACTGTGGCTCAGGGCATGCTGTGGAAATGGTGAGCCATCCAGTTGGGTTCGGAAGCTCAATTATTGGGATGAGTGGGAGTAAAGAAGGGAATCATCCGAATGAGCAGGAGAAGTACGACTCCATCAGTCTTTGTGTACCGAATGATAATCCGTTTGACCCTGATGGTGATACCCATCAGCATCAACATGATCATCATGGGCACAGTAATCATCATCACCATCATCAGGGTGATGGCCAAAGTCAGTGCAAAGGCCACACAGTCATCGATATGCACGGCAATGAAAGGCACGAGCACCATTGAAGACATGAATTCTATATGATCCTATTATATATGGGTTGTTCTTTTGTTTGCTAGAAAAAGCTATTACTCTGCCTATGTCCATATATCGCGTTTAATTCAGAGCTTGAGAACTAGTTTGTAACGATATTCTTGAATTGTTTCTAAGACTGTTATTCAATATCTACAGAAGTAATTTCATTGTCTTTTTATAGATAATGTTGGCTTCACGATCTCAAAATCTTATCATTTCCTGATTTTCACAAATGCATCTTGATAATTACTTATATGGAATAGTTGCCTGTAACCGTTAGACCATTTTAAAGATAGAACATTATGGACCAAGAACTGCAGGCTCCAGTCCTACTTAGTATCTCATGGCTAGTTCCACGGAAAATACAATCCCTAAATGGTTACCAGAATAAAAGGTGCACTACATCTAAGTCAGTACAGCTCCCACCCATTCTAATCTGGAAGATACTCTCTCCGCTAAGCGAGTAAGAAATTTTAGAGAAAGCAATCACTAAGGATTGACCATCAAAAAACAGAAGAAAATTGTTCAATCAAAGGAAGGGTATTATATAATCTATCTAATCTTCCATAAAAATATATATATGAAAGATCAACCAAGCATCTCAACCAGTCCAGGCAAACCTTTAAAAACAGACTGCTACCCACATTCAACACTTCTGTACTGTTCCCATTTCATCACGATTGAAGGCCACTGAGATCACATCATAGTTTAAAAAGATACTTCATTTGCTAGAATCCTAGAAAGAAAAAGAAGTCCTAAACCAGCCAATATTAATACTCCATGTAACAATAAAATTGTACTGTTCATCATTATTGACTAATGATGAGATACAAATCGGTGTTTCCTGGAGCATTCTGGACAGGAATCTCACCAGAAAATTCCACCCCCCAATCATAGTCAAGAATGAAACAGAAACATGATTCAGAGCGTCACAATTTCTGGAGAGTTTCAAACCTATCTTATGACAGTGAGATAAAAGCTTAACCGTTGCTAATGCCAAAGGTTGCACATACTCTAAACATGTTTCTGAACAAAAAGCAAAAGGTAGAAAGGAAGGGATTTCAGAAAACACAATCAAATCCCCCCTCATTGTATATGACAAGATAGCCAGCACATCGAGCTTGCGGAAGGACTGAAAGCACTACATCAATCGTAACTTAGGACAGAGAACATAGTTCAAGCAACAACGGCCCAACATCAAAATTATAGTTAGCTGACTTATTAATAGCTCACTCCTAAGTTTCTAAGCAACTACCTATCAACCAAATGAGTAGCGAAATCGCCCTCCCCACGAAAATGTGTCAATGAATCTAAGAAGAGTGCCCTCTACTAATCAGGCTTCAAAAGCCACAACAATACAGCCGCTGATTACAAAAACAAGCGATTCCAAAAAGAGTATACCAAAACACCAGAAACAATTATCACTCAGCTCTGAGTTAAGGAACCCAAGTCAACAATTCATATCACATTCCGCCCTACACGATCGAACTGATAAACAACAGAACTCTCTCAAGAAAAACACTGAAATTTAAGGAGATACTAATAGAAACTAACCTAAAACTTGAACCACATTGCCGATGGAGAAGGTGTCTTTAGCTTTGCTTCTTTGCAGGATCACTTGTGTGCTTGGTGATCTGTTGTCCCAACCAAAAGATTGAAAAATGCAACATGGCTACTCAGAGAGAGACTCATCGAGCTTCTTCAGCTCTTCTTTCCTTACGAGCTCCTCCTCGTATTTCTTCAATCTCTCGTTCATTTTCTCCTGGCATTTTACCAGCCATGAAACAGACTCATCAGCCAAACAGTTACGGGAAACAGCCTTACAGATCAAACGAATTACACGAAGAGGAAGAAAATATGCACTCCAAGCAACTAGCGAGCGATGAAATGTGTTCCCAGATAATAAAAAAAAAAAACCCCGATAAATTGAACCGAATTTCGGGGGGAAAGTGGGGAAATTTTTGGAGAAACCTTGTAGCTGAGCTCCATGCGGTGCATGACATAGAAGCCGAGAACACCACCAAGAATCGTTCCACTGATGATCCGCACATAACCCCATTTCCGTGAACCCAGCGCCATTTTTCTGTTCTCGCCTTGTCACCGTCGCTTCGCTTTTCTCTTCGTATGTTGACTCTCCTCAATAAAATGCCGCCAGCCCGCCGCCACAGCAACCGTTCCACCCTGCTCTAGTGCTCTCCCGTCCCGTCCCAGTACCTCGAAACTGCACCGCTCCGCTCAGTTTAGGAGTCGTTTAGACAAGGTTTATAAGATTTTTCCTTTTCTGAATGGCTATTTATGAGTTTTATGGTCTGCTTTGGGAGTGTTCTAGTACGTTTTAGAAATTTTGGGGTCAATTTTGAGTTTTTTTATGTGCTTCATGAGTATTAATATGTAATTAGTTTATGGTATGTTTTATGAGCTTTTTGCGCTATTATAGGTCAAAATCTAAAAGTGAATTGATATTGATGTATGTTCAAGAAAGAGAGGCGGGATGCCTATGTATTTTAAGCTGAAATAGTGGTCTTTAGTTTGTCCAATATTCGAGTCTTATCGAATGCCCCGAAGAGACTTATTTTCTAAAATTACAAGTTTATAAAAATCATCAGTTGTGTTCACTCTGTAGTCAATGATGCTAAAGAGTAGGACAGACTGTCGAGTGTCGAGTAGACTAGAGCTGGAGAAGACCTACAAAGTTCGTGGATTATGGATATGCCATCACCAACGACGAAATGCAGGGCAGAGGGCAAAAAGGATGAAGCGAAAAAGAAGAAACCGTTGCAATTCTTAACTTTTGAGTCTTTGTCTCATCGACCAAAAATTGCAATTCAAAACAAAAAAACAGAGGAGTGAAATGCATCAAATATAGGACAACATGAGACGCCTCATGTTGATTAATCGTGTCTAGCTTTTCCTAAGCGTTATGCACGTCTAGACTTTTTTATCAAATGAAGATTATGCATTCCTAAACCATGTGTTTAATATAGACAGTAAGCACCATCTCTCCCCTTCGATCACCAGCCAAGCTTCGAACCGAATCCTGTGTCTTGGCAGTGCATCAGCATTCCACCACTCACCCAGCAGTGAACTGCAAACAGAAATCTGTATGCTAGCTTTCGTTTCGTACCCCGAAAAATAGACCAAATGTGCTACTTTATACTCTATTTCACCATTTCAGGAAGAAAATCAAAGTATCCAAGCAGCCAAACCTCACCATCGAAACTCACTGGTCACAAAGCAAGCCAATCTTCTTTGAAAAACAGAACCAAAAGTAGAAGAATAGTCATCTTCATCCAGGCAAGCATTAACATTCCCGCGTACATCATTACAACAACATGGCAACAAGGACCTAACCCCCTCTACTACAACTGTACAAGTCTTCCACTACACATTCTTCCACTCTATATATAAGCAGACATGTAAAAGCCAGTAAGTACACTCTAGCTGGTGAATCCCACTTGACAACTGGCTTTCCAGAGAAAAAAAGGAACGCAAAACCGACATGCCATATCCGGGATCCTCCGAGAAAAAACAGTAAATAAGAACACACACACAACTTTGCTTTTAAGAATTTACCTTCTCCTTCTTCTTCAGCTTTAAACTCTTCTGATTCGAAGGCAGTTGCTGCTTCGTACCTCCCTCCAAGAGCAGCATGCGAGACATCACATACGCCAGGAGTTCCTCCCTGTGGGAGAACGTGAAGTCCAGATGAGCGTACTCGAACTCATTATACGATACATCGACTCCAGCACCCTTCATCAACTTATAATGCTTTATCACCATCGAGGGGCGAATCACATTATCCCTCTTCCCAGCAACTAGGTCAACTGGTATGTCGATGAACCCATAATACTCTCCCAAATCCAACGGCTCAGGAGATCCATAAAACTCCATATTGGCCGCTGGACTTCCGTAGTCGTACATTCTGAACTTCCGTGCATGCTTCATTTGGGCAAGGTGGAGAGCCACGAAGAAAGAAACCCCCGGCATGTCATTCATGTTGTAGTGGGGCAAGCCCAAAACTCCGACCCAATTCGAGCTATCACCACCTACGACGTAGCTCATAAGGGTTTGAACCAGACCTCCGACTGCAGGGTAGTTGTTGAAGTCCCGAGCCAGCTTGTTCAAAAGCATGCGGAAGAATCTTGTGGGTATATAGAAGGCGGGGATGATTCGGCATAGAATAGGGGCCATCATGAGGAAAAGATGCTCCATGGCTGTGAAGACTAGGTTAGAATCCTGATGGAAACCAGCTGGAGATAACAGAATTAATCTGGAGAGTCTGTGTGGCTTCTCTTCGATACGACGTGTTACCACGTACATAAGCATGGCAGCTCCGCCCAAGCTGTGACAGATTGCACATAGTTTGTAAGGCTGGCTGTTGTTCTCTTCCTCGGTTTCAAGCCCACTGATCTTAAGCTCTGTGGTTTTGACATCGTGAATTTTTTCAACCATTGCTGGTATGTCCTCCATTCCATGTTCATTAATGGAATAACGCCAGTACCTGTGTCAGATATAACCACTCCAAAAAGTTATCCACATAGATTCGAGAGCAGTAGGGTGTGTTTTGCTAAAGAAAAAGCAAGTTTTAGAAAAAGTCTGGGTATGAGATTTTTTTGGTAATAAAAAAGCACCCGATGGATAGTTTGTATACTAATGCAGGAATGTGTAGATTTTGAAAAATGACAATGATTGTATAACTTTACAAGAATATATTCATTTCATCTGCAAACTAGGACACAATTTTCATTGGAGGAACCTTTTAGATTTTAATAACTTGTGGCACCTTGAATTGTTATCTTAAGAAGTTCGATTGAAGAAATGTGTTTGTCCCAACTTTTAAGTCTCCTTGTCAAATTCTGTCTAAGCTGAAACAAATACACAGATGTTGAACAAACGAAGATGTACTCACTGAACTACTGTACTACTACCTCAATCCCAGTGGTGGGGGGAGAAGTTGTTTTGACAATAAAATGAACTGATCCTTTGCGGTTAAGCAAAAATCAACTTATAGATCAGTAGATGCATAAGTGCATGTTCATAATGGGTAAAATAGTGCTCTGAACTTACTGTCGCGAAGAAATGTTCTTGTCAATATGTTCCCTAGAAACAAGGCCTCGCAAATTACCAAGGAAAACATCATACCCTGCAATAATAACAGCAGTAAGCTTTTATACTCTCTAATGATAGTCAAACACACAAAAAAGCTTCACACGCAGGTTACAGACCTTGATCATATGCTGCAAAAGCCGGAGATCCAACAACACCATTGGATACCCACCTGGGCAAAAGAAATAAAAAGTTGTAAATGAAACTTAACAGCAGATGGCAGTAGGGAACCATGCCCATAAGTAACAGTCTTCCATTATAAAATTTTGAGGTTAGTCAGTACGACAAGGAGAAAAGCCCCGATCGGCCAAGAGTAAATAGGAGAAGCTGATTTTGAGCTGAATGTCATGAAATATCTCATGATGGGCTGTAAGCTCTATTCCTACTTTTCTTAAAGCCCGAGAATGTCGCAATAACAAACTTGGATGAATCAAACAGCAAGCATACTATGACCATTTCATTAGGCCTTTTGTCTAGGTGAAGAAAAATTCAGTATGTAACCTCTACAAGCCAAACAAAAACAACAATAGAGCAACTGCCACTACATACCTACACACTGGAAGCACAAACAATTGGAGTCGGTGAGGAAATAAAGGGGCTACCTAAACCGTTTAATTTCAGCATCCAATAGGCTAGCAGCAGTTAAAATAAGGTCGCCCAAAGATCTAGTTATCAATGACTGAATTCATTTACCTGAATAAAAAAAATCCACTCCTACTTTCTTCCAGTTCTTCAACTTTAACAGATTTATAAATAGAGAAAGATGAAATTTCAACATATAAAATGTAATTAGCAACGCTCTGCAATGTAAACTACAATAATGCACATCGGACAGTCAACAAGGCAGAGATTTCTTTTTTAGGAAAAAAGTGACATGGAGAACCACGGAAGAAGCATGGGGTAAAAAGAGCCACAACAACATAGCCTACAGCAATTCAGTTTCTAAATTGACGCAGTACTTTCTCAAAGCTATCAAATAAATAAGTGTTCTATGACTAGATTGTCGGATTCTATTCCTAATCTTCATAAAAGAACCCATATTCCCCTTAAATTAAAGATCAACTGAAGTTACTAAAATTCTGAATTTTATTCTGTTTTTGTGAATCTATTTGGAAGGATAACAAATCATCTGGAAAAAAGAATCACTTTATTTTTCAATATAACTATAGATTTTCAGTTTGTTGCATAGAATTATCTGCTGCTAAACAATGGTTTTCAACCTTCACAAGTAAGAAGGTGTCACATTGCTCATTATATTTTGCAAATGAAGTACACCTCCTCCCATGCCAGACAAAATAACAGGCAGAGACGGGAACAAGAAATTTACCAACCAATCATCAGAGTAAATCATCAGAGTAAAATAAAACACTCACCCCATGGATGAATCCATCACCCCATGCTGAAGGTAAACAGCCTTGCGTGAGTCACGCCTGCCAGTACAGCATTGAAATCATTCAAGAAAAGAAAATACAAACCAATGTGGCAACCAAAGAGAAGACATTCTGAAGAATGTGAAGATGAAATGATATGGCAGATTTTTCATACCTTGGGATTCTCTCTAGAAGGAGAACATAGCCATCAGAAGTTATCACACGAATAGCTTCATATGGATACCTACAACATTATGTAAAAAAGAGGTCACAATCAAAATGATCTAATAAGAGTTTTGTAAGGGAAAAAACCGAAGAATAACAATGCAAGTTTCAGAATCAAGTTAAGCAGATAATTGTGCTACCCTAGCTCTGTTATGACATCCTGACATGTACGAGCATCAGTGTTCAAAGCCCCCTGAGTTGTAGCTTTTCTCTCTCTAGGGACTGGATCAGTGTCTCCAAGTGTAGATGCAGGTACACTGGTGTTCGAAACATCACCAGAAATATCCTCACTGTTGTACTTGTCATACGAAAACCATTCATATGTTGCTTTTAAAATCTTTGTTGGTGAAAGAAGAAATTGTGTGGCCTTGTGGAAAAAGTCGAATACAGCTTCTATGCTTATCTCTATTCCGAGATGAAGATCCTGCAATGCCCAATTAGAAATAAGAAACAAGATAGGGCAAAAGAAATGAAGATAGGATAAGCTAAAGCAACAATCTTCCACCTCAATGACTCCACGTCTCCTGTCAGTAGCATGGTGAATGAAATGATCCTTGCGAGATTGTACTCTATTGATGGGAGCTGACTGGGAACCCTGATGGCTTCCTTCAAGGGGATAAGTTGTTGATTCTTTGGTGAAAAATATCCCATAAAGATAAGGCGGAACTCCAAGCAAAATCTTCAATGGCATAATTACCCATGAGAATATAAATGCAAACCATCCAATTGAACGCCCATTATTCCTTCTGAAAGACATTGCATTGGAAACTCGGGAACTATGAGACGATGGTGATGCAGGATACATTCCATCGTCTTCTTCAGCAGAAGAATAGTCAGAACTTGCAGTATCACTATCGGAATCCACAGAAAGTTCGTGAACAAATTTGTTGAATGAAGATACTCCACTGCAGTAGCAAGTGATAGCCAGAAATGTCAGAAAACAGAAAATAGCACTATAACCCTGTGCAACAATCAAGGACCTGATTACAAATTGACATTATGGAACATGTTTAGTGTTTACTCAATTCTAGATCATCATTAGAACAGGAATAGATAGCAAGTACGAACAATTTTACAGGCTAAAACCCTCCATTAAGTTAAAAGTTCACAGACCATAGTATATATTGTGTTGACAAAGAGAATAAAATCAAAATACACAGAGATGCACTACTTCCTTCTCACATGAAGAATCTGACTGACAACAACTTTACTTTCTCTATCACACCAGCAAATAGCATCCATCGGCTCAAAGAAAAGCAAGTAGGGTTGCAAGAATCCAATAACAATGAGTCTATGTACATAGATCTTCAATCATTCAAACACTTCGATTTCAGCAGAAATTGAGTACAGAAACTAGTCACCATCTCAGGTCTTCTCCTTCCATACTAGAATTCATAAACAATATATCTTTAACAGTATGAATAAGCCACTAAATCGTAGACGATTATGCAAAATATCCCTCGGTAGAAGAACCTCAAATATCATCAGAAAGAAACTCTTTCGTGAAATAGCAGAGAATTGAGTTTTTAGATTGTTATTAGTCATAAACGCTGCCCATATCAGGAATAACGAAAACCTACTCATTGAAACCCTGTCAACCCCTTGAGGAAAGAGGAGCAGTTCCGATTATCTGGAATTTGACCCTATTAATCTTTGGCCTCGTTCTTAATAGCTAAACCTTCCTAATGAGAACGTGACTATTGAAACTAAAACTGCAAAAAGCATTGTAAAACTTTCAAACAGCCTCAAGCAAACATATGAGTTCTGAATAATTAATGATTCAGTAATCAAGTCTCCCAAAATCACCATCTAAGCAGGAAACTAGTGAACAATGTCCTTTCCTAAAGTGAGCTATTAAGCTAAAGTATGGGGCATTGCATAAGGGTGCTGGTCTATTCTACACTCTACTAGAGGAAACAAAATTCCCACAGTTGTTACAACTCCCAGCACCACCAAATGAAACAAACCATATATATCCACGGAAAGCAGACGACACGCCATGGTATTAAGTCAGGCAGACAGATAATTCAGTTGGCATAAATAATGCTAGTAAACAATCCATCTAGAAATGGCGGGCCCTCTACCATAAAACTTAACGAAATAGGAAGCAGCATCTTACTTCTCCATCCAATATGGCAGACGAGGTCCACGAAAACTTGGCCTAAGCTCCCAGCCATGCAGGCCTTCAAGAACATTAGCCTTCCCAGGCAACACAGTCAATAGCATCCCCGAAACTCCATTGATCAGCCTCACTATATTGTGCAAGGACTCGTACGTGAATGTCTTCACCGACCTGTCATAGAAGTCAAAATCACCATCAAGGAGCCATGCAAGAATATCACAAAATACACCAACAAAGCCCTACCCAAAATACATCCCTGGATAGAGCGGTAAAAAAAAAACTCTTTTCCACAGATAATTTGAGCAAGTATCATTCTGTCGGTTCAAGAGCAAGTATCATCCCTAGTGAAGAGGGATGTCAATCCTTTGTGCAGAGGATAGTCAACATCCTCGTTTATCAGCAGAAAGAAATCAGACAAACACCCCCTTATAAACTACTTGCATCACAAAAACAACCCTTATGAACAACTTGCATTTGAATTCTGCTTCCACAAAAAAGTTCTTTTACACCCATTCCATCTTGAGCTGAGAAATCTCATTCTTTCAATTGATTCCCTATGTATACATTTCGTAAGGAATGGAAACGTCTAACCATTTAAAAGGCTGAAGTTGATCAGAGCACAAACAAGTCCTTCAAAATCAGAGCACAAAAAAAAACCCCATACCATCCCCTCCCCGATAGCAGAAATCAAAAGACGAACTAGAATCAATCATGCATGTCGGTGATTGGACGCGTATAACCCCAAAGCATGCATCATCGGACCAGAGGAGAAGAAGAAAAAAAAACTAGTTTGAACTTACTCCTTGGCGACAGCAAGTGAGGAGTCAACCAATCGCTGCATCGCTTCGTAGATTGGCTGGCTCAATTCCCCGATGATCCTCAACCTCAGCGCCCGAGTTGCCGAGCGGGGGGTTTCTGAAGCTCGAAATTGCTCGTAGTGGGGTTACTTCTCGGCAGTTCGCTTTCTGCAGCGGGAGTAATTCGAATTGAGAAATCTCGCCGGTGGTGGCGTGCCGTAAACAACACTGCCGGAGAAACTGCCTTCCGAATTAAGAATTCTCTTAAGGAAGCTGAGATTTCAGAACCGCCTCTTCTTCCCCTCTAGAACTGGAGTAATGGGTCCAGAAATGTGTCAGTTATGTCTATGATGTTTGCGTCTGCGACGTTTTTTTTTTTTTTTTTTTTTGGGGTTTAATTTCTGACCAGTTATTTGTTCGTGATTGCGACGAATCGTGTTTTGGCTTCTCCTCGTCAGCATTCCTTGACTTAGAGGAGGAGGACAATTTACCAGCTGTTAGATCTATCGTATGGATAGAAACCTTCTCTTTCTCCGGACCGTTTGATCTGGATCTGATGGTGGAAGAAGTGGGCGCAGACTTGTGTCTGTAGCTCTGGCTACAGATAATAGAATGGTCAACTAACTATCTGCCGACTCACTAGTCGTTGGAGGCTTCAAGCTGGGATTTAGGTGTCGTTTGAAAGTTGCGAATGTTAAATCGTTGCATTGTAATGAATCACCATAATATAAATGCATGTATTGATACAATGAATACATTTTAACAATACATTGTTTGGTTGTTGAGATTCTACTTTATGCATTGATTTACATAAAGTTACTTTTATGGGGAAATGTCATATTTACCCTCAACTTTTAGTATAAGACAAAAACTATTAGGGATATAAATGAAAATAAAAGGTTGACACAAATCTAAAAGCAACAATCACAACTTTTAGTTGAGATTGTATAATGCATCATTTTTTGGGATTGTTGGTGGGACCCAGTGGCGGATACATGCAGCTTTAGGGGTGTCCCGGGACACCCCTAAAATTTGGGAACCCGATTATTCAACTTCTGATAGTAGTTCGTGTATGGGTGAAAAAAATATTTAAGTGGTAGTGAGACACCCTAAAAATTGGGCAAATGATTATCTAACCTCTAGCAATAGTTTGCGTATGGGTAAATAAAAATATTTAAGTTGTAGTATATATAATCTGAACTCGGATCACTGCTACTATTAGTAAGCATACTTTTCATTAGACTACAACTCCTTTTTTCTTGTATTTTAAATCCAAATATAATAGTAAAAAGCTATTCCTTATCCCCAATTATTTTCCAAAGCTAACGATTAAACACAATTACAGGCTCCCCTTGTCTAGTCGGAAATATCAAAAGAGATTTGTAGAGCAATGTTAGACAACGATGTATTTTACAATGTCTCCAAAATATGAAACCCGTCGTGTGCTTTGTTGTAATTCAGATAAATAGGATATTTTTTATTGAATAATTATTTTATTATTAATTTAATTTAATTTTTAGAGAGGACACCCCTACCTAAAATTTCTGGATCCGCCACTGGTGGGACCTACCTAAAACAATGCATGCATTGTTTTACATGTTGTCACTTCCAAACATTGCATTGTGCACAATACTTGTATTCAGCAAACACAACTCTAACAATCACAACTTCCAAACGACCCTTAGTTTTGGTGTGTGATATGTGCTTCTAAGATTTTTTATTTATGTAATTTAGGGTTGGTTTGGAAGTTGATAGCTAATAAATTTGTGTATTCTTGGAATGTATGTATTGTGAGCAAGATTTAAAAAATGCTAGGTGTAAATAAACATTTTCAGTAGAACTACGTGTTTTACAACACTTTAATGCTTAGGTTCAAATAGTTAAAGATATAGGTAACTATTAACAACAAGCAAAATATGTCTTTCGTAGAATCACAAGATTCGTGTAGAATACATTAACTAGTATATATATAATTAAATATATGATGGCTTTTATATATATATACTAAACGAATATACCACCTAGTTTGATCCAATATGTGATCTAAATCATCCTAGATTGCATTTCATATCGAAAAGCACAAAAAACTATCAAAAAGGCATAAAATGATACTAAAACACAATCTGGGTATCGAATAATCTCATTGATCAAATAATTATGAAATCCATATAAACTTTATCAAAGATATTAAAGATGCATTGATAGAGGGATGCATTGATAGAGGGAGAAAATGTATCAAATATAAGGGGTGATAAACACTATAATTTGAGCGTCATCACATGCCTTACACAATTTGACCAGAATTCAATTGGTAAGTGTGCTTGGAACTTTATAGCTCTAGCTACTGCCAATATATGTTGATGTTTTCTTTCAAAATTTTAAATTTTGTTGAGGTGTCTCAACACAAGACATTTCACGTGGAATACCTTTTTCTAAGTAAGAACTTGGCATGCTAAATTCTTGGCCTTGATCACTACGGATCCTCTAAATTTTAGTAGAAAATTGGTTCTCAACAAGATTGCAAAAAGAAACCAGTTGAGATCTAACTTCATATTTCTGTTTCATCAGGATTACCATGTTATCCTTCTGTAGTCATCTATAATGGTGAGGAAATATCGATTTCCATAATAAGATGAATGAGAAAGGGATCCCCAAATGTCTATGTGAACTAGATCAAAGATCTTTGCAATAGCACTAACGGGAAAGATAAACGTTTATGCTAGACAAAATGACATACATCACAAACTTTGACTATGAGATATATCTATACTAGGATTCAATTTATGATATTCTAGATTGAGAAACATGGTCTAACCTATATCCCATAGTTTGAAGGATTTCAGCTGTGCTTGAGGCAATAATTCTTGAGGGACTACTGACATGACATCTATCAAGCTTGTATAACCCATGATGGAGCCCAGCAGAACCAATAATTTGTATCTTCAGCATGTCATTGATGCAATATGACATCTGTTGGGCCTTGTGGCCAATTTTGGGGTTTAGTAATTAAGGATTTCTTATTAATTAATTGTGGGATATTGGGTTATTTTGTGTTATTTGTACCCGTTCTTATTTAGGATTATAATGATTTATTGTGTTTTGTTGGGGAAGTTATTGTTTACTTGTTGGGTTAGGATTAGTTACCTTTTCTGAGAGGGGAAGAGTTTGTAGTCCTATAAATATGTACTCTCATTCTACGTTTGAGTCAATGAATAAGAGTCAAGTAAATTAGTAGTAATTTAGCTATCTTTATCGCGTTTCTCAGTATTTTCGTAGAAGAGTTCGGGTTCATCGATACGTGAGATTTGCATCACGCATCAGTCATGTATAAAACAAAAGGATGAGAAGAATGTTAGGAAAAGTTTGTTCTCCTAAGTAAGCTTGATAATAAAAACAAGATTGAAGCTGAACTCAGGGACAAACAGTACATCCTCCAATGTTAATTTTTCGATCAATGTGATGTATACATTGTTGGTTACATTATTGGAACACAGTTTGAAGTCACATATTATGTTGTTTGTGGCTCCATTGTCAAGAAACCACAAAACTTCATGATTTTGAGATGTATGAGGAAATGTAGTAAAGGATGTTGCTCAGTGTGAAGCAGCATTGGTGTTGTGACTAGTGAGATTTGATGTCCAAGTGTTTTTTTCATTGTTCATCAAAACACTCATCAAAGCCTCATATTGTTCCTTATAAAGTGTAGCTCCTTCATTTCAAGATTCATTTCCAATAGAAGCATTGGCTTGTCACAAACCAAGACCATTGGTGCCTCGACCACCCCTTGGACTCATTCCTGGTGGCCAACCATGCTTGTGATATCAAGTGTGGCCTTACATTTTACAGTGAGTACAATAACGTCTTTGATTTCCATACCTGCATCTTCCTCTGCCCCTGCCTCCATTTTTGTTGGCAAGATTATTGCTTCCCCCATTTAAGTTTTGATAATGCATTCTTAGTTTTAAGGATTGTAAGACTGTGGCTAAAGACTCCACCATTTCCCCTTTGTCTTGGTGATTCCCTAAGGTTTGTCTTTCTTGTAGAGCCATTTTATAGATTTGATTCATACTAGGTAATGGGTCTAAAACTAAGCTTGAAACCTAGAGATAGAATAGTTCTCATCCATTCCTCTAAGGAAATGAACTTTCAGATTTGTCTCCTAATGAGACTTGACTGTGTTAATTGCTAGACAACCACTATGACTAGTGGTAGTACAGAGCTTACAGATATGGTTCGATAGTTTTTTAGTTCTTCACTAAATGGCTACGATATTCAGACATAGTTCTACTACCCTACTTCATATTGCATAATTGCTTTTGCAATTCAGTCATTTGAACTAGGTATCCTTGAGCATACCTTTAGTTTGCTTGAGAGTTTTTCATATCTCTGTTGTTGGTTGAATGCTTTTTACAATCTACCAATGACTTCCTCTACTGGCTGGAGAATCGAGTTTTTGCCATAAATTTTTAGCTTGTCCAAGGCCCGACTATCACATCTGATACTTTTGGATTAGGGATGCTTTCCATCGATGAATCCTAGCCTTTTCTTTTAAGTAAGTGTGCTAATCAGTCCAGTCATTATAGTTGGCTGGTGTGAGCTTCTGAGATACTAGGATCTGTGCAGGTTGTTCAGATCCATGCAGATAGAATGGATCTGAGAGGTGGGTACCCCGTGTATATACTCGACCACCACTTCTAGAATCATTATCTCCATTTCCAAGGGTAGGATCCTGTTGGGCGCAGCGGGTAAATATATTGCACTAAGAAATCACACGCTTGTAAAAAGTTCACAAATAAGTTGGACCTGGTGGCAGAGCCTCCAGAATTACGGTAACCAACTTACTTAGATCACTTTACTTCAGTAATTTAATAATGCAATATACTACGATTATTCTCAAAATAACAACAAGCATAGATAATAATAAATGACACCGAGGATTTACGTGGTATACCCTGATTTTGGGCCAGTCCACGGGAACAGCAGCTCCGGAGTATTTCTTTACTATAACAATGGTAGGTTACAGAGATTTTCTCGATACAAGAAATAGAACACACGGTGTTTCCCAAACAACCTCACTATTTCACTCACAAGGAAATCTCCTATCTACCCGTGATTGTGAAAATGTTTCACAACCGAAACCACAAGAAAGAAATAGAACCGAAAGCTAGCACAGAAGAATGATGATGATGGAAAATATGGGATGGTTTCAGAAGGGAACTAGGCATCCCTTTTATAGCACAAAATGGAGGGGACATATTTAATTGGAATGGTTGGGGAGCTAATCCATGCACCATCCAACTGCATTTGCCACCTGCATCTTACCATTATTGTTTTTTATTTTTTATTTTCTCAATTACCACCGCCAACCTTGTTGGCTGCTTCTCCGCCACATGAG